CACTTGCCCTTCGACGGGCGTGGTAGGAGGTACTGATCCCGCCTCTCAGCTGCCGGCCTAACCCTTCGCGACCAGGTTCGGTATCATTACTGAGACGACATTCCATACATCGCCTATCTGTAGATACACCTCGATCGCCTTCCTCCACGAAGCATACGTCGATGGATCGTAGGATAACTTGGGGAGATTCTCAAACGAAATCTTAGTCGACACTGAGGACATTATGAGAGGAGTAGAAGTAGGAACTTGCCTTAGTTATACACAGAGGTATGTGGACTTCCGACTGTTAATCTGTTTTCTGATAATTAGATGGTAATACAGAGGGGAAAAAGAGCATGCATCAATTCTACATGTCTCTATACTTATCACATTCCACTCACACGCATAAAACCAGAGACGATCGAATAAAGTTCAGAGGATAAGTTGAACGGAGAAATATTCGACGGAAGGGGTAATTATCTAACGGCGGTTGGGCCGTCCTGGCCCGATTCTATCGGCTAACAGGCCCTATAGCCATTGGTCATTGACGCAGACTGATCTCATCGTCTGGTCCTGACAATTTATGAAGGAGGTACGACCCTATCCCAGTTGCCCCTCATTTCTACATGTTTGCTAGACCCGGCGCGCGCACCGTCAAGTCTTCATCACCCGACCATCACACCCCCAGCTAGCCGCCCTTTAACAGTCTTTTTGTATTTGTTTCATAACGGACAGAAGCCATGACACTTTCAAGCGTCATGGGGGTCGGCATGGCCGCTGGAAGATCCATGACCCACAGAAGAGTTACTTCTGAGTGGACCACATATTTCACAAACCCAGTCCTCACCGCATGGCTAGGTAACTAGAAGTGAAGATGTACTGCCTGATATTCTTCAGGGAGGAAGAGGCCATGTTTACTGATAATTAGATGATAATACAGAGGGGGAAAAGAGCATGCATCAATTCTACATGTCTCTATACTTATCACATTCCACTCACACACAGTAAACCAGAGACAATCGAATAAAGTTCAGAGGATAAGTTGAACGGAGAAATATTCGACGGAAGGGGTAATGATCTAACGGCGGTTCGGCCGTCCTGGCCCGATTCTATTGGCTAACAGGCCAGGGATGCAAAGTTCTCCACTGTCACAAACCATGACTAACCAGCGTCCGGCCGTATAATAGTACCCTCCGTTCCCACTGAACGAAAAGGTCTATCAACCAGTGATGTCTACAATCATCAATCACTGGATATATACCCGTCATCCTTCCTTAACCTTGCCTCCTTAGCTTAGCTTAACCTTCATGTCACGACAAATCGTGATATCCACTTGATCAACCTCTTGGGAAGGACCATTGGGCGCTTGTTTCACACCATGCATGTTCAAATCTGACAGCCAGTTTATTCTAGTATCCTCTCACCACCTCTAGCATCCTCCTGTAGAATTTTGTGATTATCTAGATCAGTGGATATTGGTTAAGAGTGATTCTTTGGTGGGTCATGGCCAAGAAACCATAACTCTTCAAAGTGGCATGGATCTTCACTTCAAAGCGTCACGGCTTCAGTTGATCACGTAACATATTGACTTTGGGGAGATAGTGTCATGACCGGGTAGCAAGCCCGCGATCATAAACCGTCCTAAAAGGCTCGATATCGACTCTGCTAGTGAGAGTTGATCTCGCTATAAGTACTGGTCGTTGTCAGGACCAGACGTTGAAAATAGTCTGCGTCTATGAGCTATGGCTATAGGGCCTCGTAGGGAACAGACCTAGTGATGTAGTTTATAATCTAGTGATGTAGTGGATCGAAGAGACTATAAGTCGATGAGATCAAGTGGCAAAAGATTTGCTAAGTGACGAGAAAATACATTCGACAAGACATCTACAAAAAAGGGGTGCTTCTATATACTAAAAAGGGAGCGGAGTGATACCAAAATCTATGGAGTAATTGTGGGAAGCGACGAGGGGTGTAAGAGCGAAGGAAGACGGAGATAGACGAGGGACACGGAGATGAAGGAAAAGTATAGCATGGTAAAGAAGTAATGATTAGGTAGGGCAGGAGAACGGAGGACGCCGTAGCGGGATTAGAGAGACGGGGACGGGAACGGATAGATGGAGTACGGGAACGGGTAGGTGGAGTACGACTTCTGCGTACGACTCTTGAGGAACCCGTCTATAGGTACCCGTGATCCTGACAGAAGTCTTCCCTTTCCCTCTCTAACTCTGATCTTACTTTGAATCCCACATTTCTTACTATACACAAGAGGTCTACCAATGTATCCAGAGGAACCATCGGGCGCAACACATTGCCTCTTGACCAAAGCGGAAGAAACACATGTACCTCCATCCAATGTTGAGGAGAATGTCACATCTGATGTAGAGCATCTCCAAATACCTCCAGCCAACAGAGCAGTGCTCACCGCCCCACTCTTGAATGGTGAGGCGGGTAGTTCACCTGCACGCAGTGCGGATGGATTCGACTATAGAAGCTCACTGACAATTGAGAGTTTGGTGACGTGCTCCGACATTGTCAAGAGCAGGGAGGACATATTACAATTGCTCGAGAAAGAGAGAGCTGATCATGCCGCACAGAGAATCATAAATGTGGCACTGATGAGTAAAGTGACAGAATTGGAGCAAACAGTAATCGGCCAAAAGGTCTCAATTAGCACACTTCAGGGCAATGTCTCAAAAATGATTACCTATGCAGAAGGATTGGAAGTGAGGTTTAGGGACCTAGAGACTATTGTTCGCTCAAATGCTGGCGAAATCACAGACTTGAAGGACACTAACGAAACTTTGAAGTCGTGGATTCGTGGACATTCTGAAGGGGACATCTGTGGACCAATGTCACCAACCACATCCACCTCACCCTCCCGGAGGATGAGTAAGGAGGTTTACAACACATGCAGTTACTCACACGGAGACACATGCTTGTCGCATGTCTGTTAGGGACACCGCTGGAGACGGACAGCTCCAGAGCTGCACGGAACCTATCGTTCCCAGCCAGAGACGTTCCACTCCGGAGTGGTCTGAGTCCTTTGACAGACCCAGCTGGAGAATCATCATCATATGAGATGAGGAAGAGCATGTCATACACAGCGTCTGGGAAACATATGATCTAAACTGCCTTACATGTGAGCAGTAATCCTGCATGATTTCTCTTCCACTTTGACCCAAATAAGATTGGTTCCTCAACACCAATACTTCCTGCCTCTTGGGCCAATATCTTGAGATGATTGTGCAGAATTTGAAGCCACTGTTGAAGTAATTATATACCCACAAAACTCCCAAAGATTGGTAACATAGACTATCAATGACAAGAGGTGTCATCTAGGTTCACTAAAAAGGTATCATGTTTCTGCATGACTAGGATCAGAATCTCTGGCTGGGTCCGGACACCTCTGGAGGTGCATGGTGCTCTGGCTGGGTCCACAGGGGGTGTTTTGAACCATGCAGCTCCGGAGGTGTCCGTCTCCGGCGGTGTCCCTAACATGTCTCTATTTGCAGACTACTTTGTGTAAGGTCAAGCCGTACTTAAGCCACATGTCAATACCGAGGAAAAATCTGGGGGTCCGTTTGACAGGAGAGACATAGAGAAGAGAGTGAAGTGAGAGAGTGAATGAATGAGATGCATGAGTTCTGCTTGCGACTTACCAAACTTACCAAGTATCACAACCAATATTTTCAAACAGAATAAACTCCTCTCTCCAAGTCAATCATTACACCTTTCGGAGTCGCTATACCACCTTGGGCTTGCTATCCGGCCTGAACACCGCTAACAATGTGATACACCATGTCCCGGTATACGGGCTTTTGCATTTCAATCTCATTCGTTCAATGACCCTCACTTTTCTCCATCAACATGCTGATTCTCCTCCCGACTCATATAGTCCTCCTCCACACCAACTACAACCACCTCTCGCTTGACACTGGGAAGTATGGAAATACATAGCTCCAGGCCCGTTTTGTATGACGGATAGGGAGGGCTCATTGGAGAAACGGAGCGAAGAAGTTGTCCGTTTTTCAACTTGCAAGTCTCCTTCCCTCTGCTACCCCATGTACCGCCTCCGGAGCAGTGCTATGATCCTCCAACCTGTCCACTAGGAAGACTAGACCCTTCTAGACTATCAAAAACGTCATTAGATTCAATCTCCACTTTCTACTCAATCAATGGAAGGGGAAAATGGGCAGTGCATCAATTATGAAGGGAGGCGCACGGTCCTTTCTTCTATCCCTCCTCTTCTCTTGCCACACAGATTTTTAGGGGGGTATAAGCCTCAAGCTTTGTGTATTTTCTTTCCCCATCACTTATTATAATGACTGCTTCACCAAGATCAACAAGCAACTCAACGAACGAGTACTATAGTCTGTCAACCGGTTCATCTCGTCCGGTTTCCCCAGTAAGGAGCTCACCTGATGATCACTCCAAATCTTGGGAATCCGACGTTACCCTTGTAGACAATGTGTTTACTGTACCCAATGGGGGAGTCGAGAGTAATGTTCCATTGCCTGCCAGAACTATTATGAATCATCACTCCACTGAAGAACCATCAAGCACAATTGGTTGGCCGGCAGCCAAGAAGTATTCACCTGCAGCATCCTCAGCTGTTGACACCCAGTGTCAAAGAAGTACCATGTTTGGTGGCAGAGCAGACACGCAGGTAGGCGCGAGGGAGTCCAACTCACCTCAATCCAACAGTATGAGAACTCAGTCAATCAAGACTGGCCAACGTTGGGGTGTGAGGAAACTTTTTCCATCCATATTTGGCACACGAGCAAAGCCGGCAGAGGAGTTGGAAGAGTTGGTGTCAGAAAAGACTGTGGAACAGCAGCCTGAGGGAATAAGCGGTTTTGAAGTACAAGCAGTGGTCTCGCAACTGGCAATAGCGGAGATGATTGTTCTACTAGCTGCTGAGAAGGAGAAGACTGCTCATTGGAAGGCCGAGGCTCAAATGAGCTTGCCGGCACATGTGATACGAGATCTCAGCGAGTTCAGAGACGGAATTTGCTCGTGGATAGGGAGTACAGTGGACCCTATCCGTACTCGGCTGGGGATGTCCTCCATGTACCCAGCCCCTTCAGCCATGGAAGATGGGTCAGAGATAATTGACAAGTGGCTTCTGCAAAAAGTCCACCAAATCCAAATGAGCACTGCAAACGAGTTGATGTCAGGCTACTGAGATTGGAGTAGAGGAGGCTTGAGGGATGTTACATCTCATCAAGCAGTGATTGATGAAAGGAGTTGGACGGGAATGATATTTTGATATGACCCTGTACATGATTTATGTCATTTGATTCAGACTCATGAAAGCAAATCTCTTGACTGACGCTCAAAGGCAACGAGATATCTGTTCCGTGCGTGTCACACTGTCCACCAATAAAACGAAGTGGCACTTTGACAACACAAAAGAGAAAGTCGCCGCCACATTTGGATCAGCCTCAATCATCTAGGCTTGAACTTTACCTCTTTACCCCATCAAATGGTTATGTCGCTCGAATCAAACCAAAGGATAGCGGGATTATCCATACTCGTTTACGCACGTTGGTGATGAACGTCACAGAAACGTGTCGTGTCCGAGATCCCATGGAATGTGATGGGATATCATCACATTTTCTCCCTCACTTCTGAGCTTCTCAATTATCGCACATACTCTTTACTGCTTACGTCGCTCACACATGGGCGATATCATGACAGCCCAGTCAGATGATAATGGGGAGAAGTGTGGTGATATAGAACAAAGTACAAGTACTCCAAACGAGGTGGTAGTCATTGTCGAGGGAGAGAAATCTGCTGAAGGTGAAGCTACTATTGAATCCGAGGAGGCAGAACCTCCTTGTGGTGAAAAGCAGAATCTGGAAAGTAAAGAAGAGAAGAGAGGTAGAATATGGAGGAAAAAGACAAAATCTTCGGAGAAGACCAAAACAGGTCAATGTTCACGTAAAAATGTCAGTCCCATCTTGATCCTTCATTATCCGTCAATTATCCGGAATGTGTGAAAGTAAATTGGAAAAGAGAAGACTGATCTCTCAGATTCGGTATGTCCCTCGATCCATCGTCTATTCTTATCTCTCCTTGGCGAGTCGTCCCGAGCCGATCAACGTGTGAATAGTTCACTGGCCGCGTTTATGATTTCAGGATTTGAGATTGGTCGATCAGTATCATGACTAACAATGTAGCCAGCGTACTGATGAAACAGAGACTTGTACCCACCTCCTCCGGGAATTCAGGAGACTCGATGGCAGCGTTGGAAAAGATATGACAGAGAAGATAAGACTGGTCTTCCTATGTATCCTCCCCCAGGAGTAAAAGCGGATTCTATCATCATCAAAACTCTAGCGGATGGGACTGAGGTGAGTAGCTCTACCTTTCTCCACATTCTTATTTTGATGAACACATACCGTCCTCTTGAGGACCTGGTATTTCGTTCACCAGATACTCGAGCTAGATAGGTGAATGATCCCCAAGATCTGTCCCTATTTGGGGGATGGTCAACAATATAGGGATAGAATGGACAATACTGTGTTGTGAAAGCCGACGTGCAGATTAGAGTTCAAGAACCACTCAAATCTTGTGGTACGGTGTTTTGGGACGGAAGACTAATCAAGCGACGAGAAGCAAAGAAAGCTATTTTTGAAGGAACCGGTGCTGTGATAGGAATCATCGGTTCGGTCGTAGGCGGTGTGCTAGGGGGGTGAACATTGATAATGTGTCAAGTCATAGCATGGTGCATGTGTATCTGTACTGTAGTGAGGCTAACGTTGATGATTTGTCTGACATTATATACAAGGGGTCATATCATGTTTTGTCATGAAGATGCAAGTGCCGTCATTACCGGTGTTAGTGGTCGGTACCGGGGGTTTTCATAGTGGGAGATCTAATGAGACTGTCTGTCAGACCCCAATCACAAGTGTATTCTCAAACTGTGCTACATGAACGAAGCCCGATTTATGACATGTTCAACTTGTACGCCAGTCCTAGAGGTGCAGAACAAAATGTGTGGATCATGTGAAGTGAGAAACTCACTCCTTGTTCATGAGATGTCCGTGGCTCTTGTGTTTCTCCAACACACGTTCAATGGCGTTCATTCCTCTGTCAAGCGTCTTCATGTCGGGTCCGAAGCTCAAGCGGACGAAATGGTGACACGGCGATTTGAGCAGGTTGCGCTGAGCATAAGCCTGACTCTGATGTCGATTAGGTGACTCACACGTTGAGAAGGATTGATGTCGAAGAACAAACCAGGGACACAGATGGTCTTCTCCTGAAGTGTCAACGATATCCGAATTAGATGGATTCCGTATGAATCTTTGCAATCGTTCCGCTCGCTTTTCGAAGCCTCCCCAAACCCACTTCACAATACAGGAAGGACTTTCTCTCAAAAGCCAGGGGGGAGGCTCGAGTGTTGAGATGAAACAAGACGTGGAGGTGTGAACGTGATGTAAGATCGGAGACGATGACGCACCTTGAGCAGCTCCTCAAAGAAAACAAGGCCATTGTCCAGTGGCGCAGGTAGACCAGAGACATCGAGCCAGATGTAGAATGTAGCTTGTGGTGGGACAGGGACTTTCAGACCCATCTTCTCCAATCGAGCTAGGACAAAGTCTCTCTTGATCCGGAAAGCTTTCTGAAGAGCGATCTAAGATCAGTCATACGTCTTCCCTCCCAACGATTTCTGCGAATTGGCTGGAAAGGTTCGTTCTACCACTGGTAAGGCGCAGGTCTGTTGTCTGGGTGCGCCAGCAAAGTAAACAGAGAAGATGAAGATTGTGCCGAATAATTTCACAGTAAAGGAAGAGGACAGGGACAAACAAGTGCTCACCTTGTCCTGCTGCACACGGGCAGGCTCCAGCAGAGGAATCGCAGCCATCTGCAACGGGTGTGAAGCTCCTCCGTCCAGGAAAGACCCAGATTGAGAGATAGCACTAATGACGCTCTTTGGCGCCACCACCTCCGCCATCAGTCATATTCGTTGATTTTGGTAGACTGCTCACCCAACACACACGCCAACCGGGTAGACGGAAACCTTTGGTGAGACCATCAATAATGACCACTGGGTCCTAATTATCAGCTTGACAATGGCAGAGACTATGAGAGCTCACTTCATCAACATCCTCAACGTACTGCGCCCCGCTGAGACTTTTGCCCAGATCGGCTGGGGAGTCGGGGTATAGATACCTATCACATCAGCATTACTCTCTTTACTGTTTTGCCAGACGAATCTCAAATACAAGCTTGAAAAGTAAGGGGAACGTACCAACTGTAAAACTCGTCCAGAATGATGGTGGTCTTGTCTCTACTGAGCCTGACCAGATCTTCGAGGTCTTTACCACCGATAAACTGGCCGGTGGGATTACGAGCTTGGCGTCAGCTTCCGTTCACCGTCAAGATCTAGCTACAAACTTACGATTGGAAGCCACCACAACGTTCAAGCTAAGGTTGTTCACTTCCCTCTTTAGCTATGGTGTTAGCTCCCCTTTGATTTTGTCGATCTGAATCTGGAGACTGACCTGATCGATGTTGAGACGATATTTATCCTTGTGATCAGCTTCCACCTCTCTACATTAGTGGTCAAAGCTTACTTCGGCACTCAGAGCAGTTGGGACAGGTACAAGTCTTTTGAAGACACTCAAGACTTCGGAATAAGTTGTGTCTACCAGTCAGTCTTGAAGCCAAGGATTCCGTAGAGCGGACGCACATTCTGGGATCTGATAGCCTGTGGATCAGCTTTTAACAAAAGTAGCGTGAGACAGGGGACACACCGCAGTAGACATCACCGATCACAGCTGCCACCCTGGCCATACCTGCTCTTCCGCCAGGGACTATACAGACATTTTCGTAGGTATACTGACTCGGCTTGTCTTTGCGATACTCCTCATTGTACAATTTCTATAGGGTTAGGGTTCATTCCAAGATTCGACTGCCTGTGATGCATTGAATGAATGTATCAGGGCGACGAAATGTTCGATAGATTTTGGGGAAACGGATACAAAAGAAAACGACACACCGCAACGGCCTCGCGAAGTTCTTTGACCCCCACGGTAGGAGCGTACTCGTTCACCAAATCCCCGTACTCCGCCAGATCGATGTACTTGATTCGTGGTGGCGCACCCGGCAAATCGTCGACCTGTTCTCAGTATATTCCTCCCGATTAATGCTCATGTCTTCCGAAGGAGAGGTGTACACCCAAAGCAACAAATGAAAGCAAAAAGGTGAACATACTTGAGGAGCACCTTGTCCCAAGTTTGCCCATTCTTCATTTTCGGGCGAGAACCCATTTGCTTGCGCTCTACTTCATCAGCCCCTCTCTTTCAATACCTACATATCCTTGGCGGAGTATCAAGACGAGATAGTTAGAAGAGTAGGTATCGGATGAGGAGTGATTATACATACCGGTCAGTGCAGTATATGACGCCTTTCCTTCAGCTACCTTTAACAATCTCCTGCACCACTCACCTGTCGCTCCTGGGTGTCGAATCCCTGGGCTACATATCAGCTCATTCCAAGATCTATGAAAGCTGTAGAAAAGGTACTTACATAGGTTCTGCATCCGATCCCGTCAAAGTAGACTAACATCAGTATCCCTTCTCATAGGCACAAGAAGGGGGCCCACCTGATTTCCTACGTATTCTCGTAAGATCTGACCTTCAGTTCAAGCTCGACAGCGATCTGAGGGAAAGAAGTTATACCTGGTGAGCTTCCGAGTCCGTTTCTATTTTGATATCCTTGATCGTGTGCTTCATCGACTGAGTGGCCGAATGTACCAAAGAACCCATCATTGTTCCCATGCCCTGACCCCCTTGTGGGCGTAAGTGGTGTTTCTTCCTGTGGAACGTTTTGTGAGAAGTTTCTTCCTGAAAAATGGGCCAAACTATGATTCCCGATGATGAGAAGAGATGAAGTGAAAGAGAAAGAGAGACAGTGGAAATGAGGAAAGATGGACTACTTAAGTAAGGTTGCAAACGTTTATATCTAATCTTGGAACTCGTATGACGTCAGTCCGGTGCCTTGTTTCTTCACTACAACGCCTAGAATAACATGCATAAATCAGCCATCTTGATTTGCTTACCCATCAGCTTCTCCATATTGATCCAACAAGCTCATTTACAAGACATGCTGCGGCCTCTTGATGGCTCAACGAGGCTGACACGGGCCTACGGGTGGTAAGTTTAGGGAAGGAAACGAGGCTCAAGTGGATGCCTTTGGGGGCACCGCCGGTCGGAGCATCGTATATGCGTATGCGGCGCAGTATTGGTGCTGTTGGATCTCTGCCTTATGGTCTATTTCGGGATCAGCCTCCGAGGCTGTATTCTGGATCTCTGGCTGGACCGCCTCGACCGAAGGATGGTGGGTGGATGCGATTGCCGTGACAGGATGAGGCGTGGGGGATGGTTGTTCTTTCGGATGGGAGGGTTCGGGTTTGTTCCTAATCTTTCTCCTCTGTGAGTCAGCGATGGTTTCTCTCTCACGATACTGTCTCCTCATGTCGACACACGAAACCTTTTGTGCGTGGAATCATACTACCGCCTGGTGAAAACAAGGTGAGTTGAAAAATACGAATAGACCACAGCACCAAGATCTCTCGGCGTCTAGATAAGTATGAGTCGGCGTCGGCGTCGACATCGGCATCCCATCGTCTCCGCCTTTTCCTTCACGACTCACACCTGGTTATTCGTCAATAACGTCTCTCTTTCTTTCTCCAATCACATGTGACTCACTCATCTGTGAGATAATACCCTGGATCCAGTTCCTTCACCTGTGCGATATCTGATCTTATTCGATACAAAAAAAGGTTCAGAATGGAAACGACGACCAAAGTTGCAAGAAGACAAAATTGCATCACTCCTACTGTCACCTCACTCGCCCTGACGACCATAAGGTGCTTTCTCCCAAGCCACAGGCACCTCCTGAATTTCTCGTTATCTCTACTCTCAACAGGAGTATCAAGTGCCTATCCTCCTGCTCCGGTCAACCCGCCAGCGAAAGAGTTCGGAGCAGGTTGTAAGTTATCTCTCGGTTTCAAATGTCTATATCGTCTGACAGGATCTTCATCCCTCTTCGTCAACCCTTTACAACCCTTCATCATGAGAAAATTCGAACATACTTGAATTTGTACTGATCATCAGTCCATCTTCCTTTCACAGGATATCCAAGGGTGACACTCACGTAATGACAATCAAGAGTACTACGAATCCATCTTCTTACTTTGCCCCACGTCGACACTTTCTTTTCTCCAAATTGAACTTGGTGTTCGTAACTGGTCTCACTCATAGGACGCTGATTATTACAATGTGTCGCCACTAGAGAACAACAATAGTGATCATACTACTGAAAGGTAGAGACGTAACACTGCCTCAAAGATGACTAAAGCGAGGAAGGAGAGGAGATACATACTCCTTTGATCCATCAAGTCAATCAAGTATTCCGAGGTCGACGACATATGACTTACGCACGATTCACTATTAGACACAGCCTCCATGATGGATCACGTATAAGCGACACGAAGCGAACAGGGCGAGGTGTCGGTCGTCAGAAAATGGAACGTATCGGTTCGGAACCTTCGACTAAGATGACACAGCAAACTATCATGGTTTACTTGGGTTGTACCGAGAAAGGGTGACAGACCAATTTAATAATCCCGTACGACTGAGAGGGTTGTTTCTCCACCATCTCGATTGTGGGAGTAAAAGCTAGGCGCAATGGGACTTTTCGGCTGGTTGTTTAGACCAACTAAAGCCTCTCAGATTTGTAAGTCTTCCTTGTACTATTCCCGATTTGATATAAAGGCTGAAAGCAGATCCCCATGATGAAGTGATAAGAATGCGAGGTGGGGGATGTTGCTGGTGAGTTTCTTCTTTCCAATCTCCACAGTTTTTCTTCAAGTCCTCATTATTTCTGAGACATCCTAGCGAACCAGTCTGCTAAGAGGACCTGTCAATAGGAAAGGCTATTGACTGATGAGCAGCTCTAGAATTGTCGGTCTAAAGCCTAGTAGACGCCGTCGTACTCCGGGATTCGACCCTGCCATAGGGGTTGACATAGGGATGAATTCCACGACAACACCATATGTCGGCAACTCAGGAGATATGGGCGGTGCGGGTTGTCCTCCGGTTCATGGACACCATGCTGTGGGAGCAAGCGCATGTGGGGGCGGAGGTGGTGCAGGGTGTGGAGGGGGAGGGGGTGGTGGTGGTGGTGGATGCGGAGGAGGAGGAGGAGGAGGCGGCGGTTGTTGATCTTCGTATCCTCCTTGTAGTCGGCGGAGGGGGGAAGCTTCGGAATGACGTACAACCATGTACATATGTATTTTCGCTCTCTCGACTCCTCTTGGGCTTTGTGTGCTAACATACAGTACCCTGGGAAGGTCAACAGTGCAAGAGCTATCTCACCTTTCAATCAAATCGCGTACGTCGACTGGAGTGGTCTAACACGGACGAATAAAGTTGCAACACGTTCCGATGATTCCCCTTGAACTCATTTGAGTCAGCTGACCGATATAGGACCCACGGTCCATGTAACAAGCAACCTCGTGGGTATCCTCACGGAAAAGGCACTGTAACCTCAAGTTCAATTCCTCGCCTTCAAGTTACTTCCACCCCAGAACGTGTAAGGGTAGAAGAACTCCTTTGTGTCATCGACGTCATCACCCTCTTTCTCCGCCTCATTGTGAGTCCTCCCACCTAACAATTATCCCATCTCCCATCTCTCCTCTTCTCTTCACATATCAATTCACAGAAATAGAGACACTCCCACCATAAACCAAAACAGTATTCCGAAGAAGAGAGTAGGTTGCTTCACGATTCATACATGAGAGCTAATGACAGTGCCTTCAAAGCTTCAAGCACTTTTACCATCATGTATCAAACCCTCTACCTCTATCCTATCTTCCCCAATCCCTCCTCCTCCCTCTTCGCCAATCCTCAACCCAATTTCTTCCTCTACGTCCATCCCTTCTCTCTCACTCAAAGACAAACTCCCGGAAGACCGTCACCCTGAGAAACAAGACGGACGACCCCCTTGGACGGTAGCTGCCAACCTCGTGAGCCCAGAAGAGAAATCAGAACCTGTACTTCGCTACAAACCAAAATCTTCCATATCTCCTACATCTACCTTTCCGGGTCTTTCCATCCCCAGTCTGGTAGATACCGAAGTACACCAGCGGGACGACTTACCAGGGGGAGGATTGGTTGTTCCTTCGGACCCGTATAAGGGGTTTGCACATTCCGTCCACGGACACAAACCGAGGGAAGTGGTATTACCTGAACGTCCTGCCCCACTTCCGAGACACCCTCATAACGCCCCTCGTCATGTGCCTCAACCGACGGGGACTGGGGATCCTAGTACGATGGTGGACAAAAGAGGGGGGGGTGGGGGAATGGTAGGGGTTTTACCTCCTAGCGGAAGTGGAGAAGTTCAGATGGTTCCTTCTGCTGGTATACCAGGAATCAAGGGGGGGATGGGAAATGAGACACTTGTTCTGCCTAATGGAAGCCAAGTACCTTATGGACCAAACCCTGCATGGTCAGGCTTGGCAGGGGCGGATGGACATGGAGGAGATGGTGGGATGTCTGGTGATGGCATGACAAGTAGTGATAGTCTGCCTGGAGATGGAATCGGGGTAGGTCATGGGGGAGAGGGAAGTAGTAGCTGATGTTCTTACTTCTGGTATACGAGATCAACCCTAGATATGATGATGTCTGTGACTTGTGGTCATCCGCAGCAGTATTCACTTGAAGAAATAGAAACGGCACAACTGCTCTCTCAATTCAAATGCATCGTCTCTGTCTCGTGATTCCTATTCTTCTTTCACTACGGATCTCCAAGCTATCAATCGCCCAGTGTGTCAAGGAGCTCATTCCTCATCTGCCAGCACGAGGTTTGAGACTCATGTTACTTCAGGGGATCTCACTCAATCTTGGACTCATCAGGAACAGAGGTCTTCCCATCTTGCTCTTGGATAGGTATGTTGTCTCCCAAGGGGACCCCTTCTGTTCCTGAGCTTGTCTCTTCAGCAGAGGCTAGGCTTTGTTCTCCGTTTGTACTTGTTTCTGCTGGGAGTTCCCCAGCCAAGGGCTCTGTGTCTTCTTGTGGGGGCATTGAAGCCGCTGTGAAAGTAGTCTCCCCTTCTACAGAATTACCTGTAGTCGCCTCGGAGAGAAAAGGAAACGACTTGGTCATAGACTGTCACGGCCGTCGAGCAATTCCTTCCTTATAGACCGACGGTCGACGAACCTTGGCTAACTTCACGCTTCTGAGTCGATGTCTCACCCAACCGAGAGGGCGCAGACGTCGAAAGGGATGTAACTACGGCGTACTTCGGTGTAGTTACTCTAACTAAGGCTTTGTTCTACTGATGGCGATGTATCTCGATTTATAGCTATCTCTATTTGTCTTTTACTACTGACAACAATCAAGGATCGCTGAAGAACTTCAGCGATCTCCTCAGCTAATATTATCTATCCCTCCTAGACGTTCACCCAACCCTCTCGCGCTTTGACGTACTTCAACGCACTTCGTCCAACTTCCCCGAACCCCGGCCATCCTCTTCCTCCTTTGCCTAACTCCACCTAACATCGCCGCACTTCTGCTCCCATTGTCCCTACCTAGCCTAACTCCGTCTAACTTCGCCGTACTTCTGATCCCATTGTCCCTACCTAGCCTAACTTCATCTAACTTCGCCGTACTTGGTCTCAGGTGTCCTGAGTTACGTGTAGAGTGAGGAGGTTAAGTCGTGATGGGGGTTTTGATGGTCAAAGGAGGGTCATCGTTGGTGGAATAATCGAGGTGTCACGACGTAGTTCGTGACATAGACAAACGTATGATGCGATCGGTCGATTCGGGATCCGGAAGGCCTATCTTACTAAATGGTCTGGCCAAAAATTGTCCGTCATACGACAACATTGTGTACTCCCCAATATCATTGTCATAGACTGTACATGTGGCCACTTCCTCCCTGTATCTCCAGCTCTTCATAAGTCTGAACAATAGATGTGCCCCAAGCTCTTCGTTTTCCATTTGCCATTCTTCCAGTTCTTCTCCTCCCTCGCGTAAGCCCATAACAAGAGTTTATTGTTGAGTGCTAAGTGGCGAAGAAAAGTACTTGTGTGGGGTAGTGAGCAGTGCTTAATAATCTGGTGAGAGGGGATGATGGAAAGTCTTTTTTTTGGGGGGGGGGGGTGTCACGGCCGTCGAACAACTACCTCTTAATAGACCGACAGTCGACGAACCTCGGCTAACTTCACGCTCTGAGTCGATGTCTCACCCAACCAGGAGGGCGCAGACGTCGAAAGGGGTGTAACTACGGCGTACTTCGGCGTAGTTACTCTAACTAGGGTTTTGTTCTACTGATGGCGATGTATCTTGATTTATAGCTATCTCTATCTGTCTTTCACTACTGACAACAATCAAGGATCGCTGAAGAACTTCAGCGATCTTCTCAGCTAATATGACCTATCCCTCCTAGACGTTCATCCAACCCTCCCGCGCTTTGACGTACTTCAACGCACTTCGTCCAACTTCCCCGAACCCCGGCCATCCTCCTCCTCCTTCGACTAACTCCGCCTAATATCGCCGCACTTCTGCTCCCATTGTCCCTACCTAGCCTAACTCCGCCTAACTTCGCCGCACTTCTGCTCCCATTGTCCCTATTTACCCTAACTTCATCTAACTTCGCCGTACTTGGTCTCAGAGGTCCTGAGTTACGTGTAGAGTAAAGAGGTTAAGTCGTGATGGGGTTTTGATGGTCAAAGGAGGGTCGTTGTTGGTGGAATAATCGAGGTGTCACGACGTAGTTCGTGACAGGGGGGAAGGGCATCTCCACTTTTATCCTCAAAGCCTTAGCCTTCTACAAATCCAAATGCTGTACACTATTTCTGCTGCATGGAGAGGAGTGTCAATGGGTATGATATCCCTTCATCTATGACATCACCTCTATGGCCCACAACCAGGGGTGAGCAAGAAGAGGGAAGAAGGGAGAGCAATTAGAAGAAAGGGAAGGTGAGAACAACCTTGCACAGCTCTCTTCTTAGAATGCTTCTTCTTCTTCCTCATTACATCACTATGCTGTGCAAGAGGGAAGAGAGATGTCATGGGAAAGAACAAGTTGAATGTGATTTGTACTCGTTGCCTGTAAGAGAGTCGCAACGCCGATATTTGTGGGACAGCCCAAAGAAGCTAGAGTCATTTTCCCCGGTGCCACGTTCCGGCGTACGCGTCATGCTGATAATGAGTACGTAACTTCTACACCCACACCCTATAGATACACAGGGAGGTGCCAGAGTCTATGGTCTTGCTAGAGACGTAGTAGTATACTTCGGAAGGTAAAGAGCATCTCTTCGGTAGGGCAAGCCATGACTACGTGGTTGCGATCGAACGAGGCACCGATCACGCCGAAGAATTACGTCATCACGACGGGTCCAAGCGTCGGTCATGTGAACAGTGGTGACGGACAAGAGCAATGAGCAATTACGAAGGAATACCAAGGAAACCGTGTAGAGTTGAAGGAAACCGAAGAACAGCGTAGGTCGAAAAGAAGATCAAGAAGTCGGACACACATCAAAACAGTGGACAATGTGCGATCAAAGAGGTCGAGTCCGCAAACCCGGAAACCCAATCAAACAGTATGTAAGAATAAGTTGTGATCGTACCATCGTGTAACCGCATACCGTAGAACCCAACGAGTTGACAGAAGCGCAGGTTATCGATTGATGATGTCGGTCAAAGATTAGAGAGAGGAGGAAGGATCGTACAAAGTGTACATCTGCGAAACAGTATGGGAATCCGTACATCCGTGAGGAGGAGTCGTGTGATCTTTTGAAAGATCAAGATGAATGTGTTCAATACAGAGGATCGCAGTCGAAAGTCGAGCGAAGTACTGTAGATCTGGAAGATTGAGAAGACCAGCAAGATCTCTATCAATACGTCGTAAGACATCAACTGCACGTTCTTTCACCGAAACAGAAACAGGCAAATCCGTAGAGTGGGTAGACAATTCGGAATACAATTCTGAGGATGACTTCAAAGAGGGTAGGATTGTAAGCGTAGGTTCAAGAACCAGAGGTCCTGTTGAAGAGGAATAGAGGACAATTGGGACAGGTACCAAAGGAATCGAAATTGCAGATGATATCGCAGGGATTACAGGATTGACAGTGGGGATCGAAAGAGTCGTGTGGATCGTAGGAGGACAAATATTCCCAGCTCTTTCTACATCTCCAGTATTGCAGACATCTATCCCAAAAATCATACACTTCTGGCCATCTCTAGTACACTCTGAGCAATTGTAAAGAGCCTTTCCACCATGCTCCTTACCATTCTCCCTAGCATCTTCTCTTCTTAGAGAAAGACATGTATGTTTCCATCACTATCATTGCAGGCGTGATCGAAATGTAGCCGTTGTTGACAATGTATTCTTTATTTGTTATGCAACTATCCCCCATTCCAAAACTGTAGGGGGGATGTCCGTATTGGAAGCCTAAGTATTGAAGAGTCAAATCTATGAGTCAAGAGCAAAGGATGAAGAAACCGAAAAAACTTTGTGGTGTCACGGACCATTGTGACATCCTGTGACCACAACTACACCACATCCTTTTGGACGCCAGCATTTCCGTCATCTATCCTGACTACAACATACGTCAGATCTGAAGAATGACCCTAGCAGCAAACTTAACCTCAGTGCGGCAAAGTAGGCTAGACTGGAAGGGGAACAAGAGGTAAGACCAAGTACGTGAACATATGGTGGCTAGGTAGAGGGAGGGAACGGGAGCAAAGCAAGGTTAGGCAAAGAAGGCATTAGGGGATTGGGGATGTGGACATGTACAATAAAGACTAGTGAAGTAGGACTGAGCGTGGGGCAGTGTAGACTTCAATGAGTATCTACAAGAGGAGAGCATTAAAATGGATATTGAGCAGAGGGCTGAACTTCTTCAGCGCTCCTTGATTGGCATCAGTAGCGCGAGATATAATCAATAGCTACCACCATCAGACAAGTGAGAGCTACAACCAAGCATTACAACCTACTACGGAGAAGTCAGCCGCAGTTCCTTGGCAATCACCTTCTGTTTGTTAGACACCAACGTATTGATTGCTGTTAATCAGATGATAATACAGAGGGGGAAAAGAGCATGCATCGATTCTACATGTCTCTATACTTCTGACGTTCCACTCACACGCAGTAGACCAGAGACGATCAAATATAGCTCAGAGGATAAGTCAAACAGAGAGATATTGGACGGAAGGGGTAATTTTCCTAGTGACGATTCAGCCGTCCTGGGCCGATCCTATCGACTAACACGTATTATTTCTACGGCGTAGTCAGCCGTAACTCCCCGATGAGTACCCTGTCTATGTGAGACATCAATTCCCTACTTTGATGTAGTGAGCCGAGGTTTGTCAACCATCGGTCTGATAGAAGGAGAGAAAAAGACGTCTGTGACAACCAAACCTTGCATGGTCAGGTTTGGCAATGGCAAATGGGCATGGAGGAGCTGGTGGGACGCATGTTGATGCTATGACAAGTGGCGATAGTCTGCCTAGACAGAACTGGGGAAGGTCCCGGCTGATTTTCACATCTCACATGCGTAGGTGAGAATCGTTATAGATGTGACAATGACTGCAGCCTGTGTCTATCCAGATAAATGATGCCCTGTGTCTATTCAGGAATCTAAAGAGTCAAAGGAGAAGTATCATCATTGCTCTCCTCAACTTGAATGCATCATCTCTTTCTCATGATTCCTAATCTGCTTCACTCTAAACTTCAGACATTCCCGTGACCGTGAGTTGAGGAAGCTGGTCATGGATGACTGGTAGACGCTGGGGGCGTTTACATGATATTAATGGTTCTTTCTTTCCCAGCTGAAGGCCCATCGGGCTCCTGATGACTGACCGAGGGCTCGGTAGATTGGGCATCCCCCATGTCAGATTTCTCCTCCACTCGAGAGCCTTTGCTCAACTCATTGTTCCCCAGGCTCTCTTGTTCTTCAGTCTTCGGCGCCTTGTTTGATGGTGGTTCAGCTTTGGCAGAGTCATCAGAATCAGAATCAGTACCTTGTGTGGGGGAGGAAGAGTGTGTTGGTGACTGCGGACCGTTCACCAAAGGAGTTCTTTGTGAAGCCGATAAGGACACCGCAGACGGATGGAGGGATGGGTCAGAATTTCTGGCGTCACGGTCCAAACTATCTGAGTTTGCAATATACCTCTGATGGGAGTCAGTGTCCGCTAAGGTGGCTTCAGCAACTGTAGTATTGTGTAATTTAGCCAAAACTGAGGGATAAGCTGGGGAGGTCCGTGACAGCACTCCCATGTGAGACGTGGGAGTGACGATAGGTCGTCTCGACTAGGTGATGTGCTGTCCTGATATGAATCTATTCTACTCGGATATAGAGGGGTAAGCAACACTTTGACCTCCTTTTCTGACCGCCCTACAATTTGACATGTAGAAAGTGCTAGAATCACATTGTTCTCTTCTCTATCATGGCCGCATCAATATGCTCGAGTTGCACCGCCGTTGTGAGCTAAACGGTTGGCAAAGAAGGGAGAGTGAGAACTACATTACACAGCTTCTTTCAATCACTGCATTCTCCACGATTTCCCCACTTTACCATGAGAGACGGGAGAGCGACGTCATGGGAAAGCAGAATTCGAATTTGGTTCTACTAACTTCCATGATCGTAGTCCCCCGATTCAATCGGGGCTGTGCGAGACTACGTGGGCTTAGCTAGCTGGGAAAGAAAACTGATCAGCATCGCCTCGCTCTACTACTCTCTTGAACGTGCATCTTTGAAGAGCAGGAGGGAGGAAGACAAGACAAGAAAAAGTGTCGAGAACGTCGAGATTCCGGTGAACCGACGGGGTGCGATCGAACAAGGCACCGATCACGCCGAAGGAATTGCGTCATCAAGACGGGTCCAAGCGTCGCGTGATGGCTTCGAAACTTTTCTCCTCTTTCTTCTCAACCTTCTCTCTTTCTTCCTTTCTCCACCCTATACTACCATAATTGAAGCTAGTACACAGTCCCGTAACATAGTGTCTCCTCCTCGACCTCGAGAAATGATGAGTGAGTGTTTGTTGTTAATCATGAAAAGCAACTTTGATCTCGTAACCTTGACAACAGGCAGTGTCCTCGTTACCTCCTCCTGTCTACCAGGCCGGGCTTTTCACTGGTCACGTTTGTTTGGTAGTAATAAAACTTCAGTAGACATTGAGGATTCCCTATGCTTCTTGTGCTGACCAGCAGAGAGACAAATACAAGAAGAGAATGAAGAATGCTCTTCCTCCAAATCTTTCAAATCAGTTAGATCATGGTTTCAACCTCTCCGTCTTAGAGGTGGTTGTGGACCAAGTGTGAGTTCTTCTCTCTCCGTATTTCTCTTCCACTTCTTCTTCAAATCATTCAGGATTGAAGCATCTGCCCTGTAAACTCCCATCTATGCACTTGGGAGACATTTTGGATGGTACACCACTTGGTGGATTGTCCCCTGGGTATTAAACACCCTCGAAGACAATGTGGAGAGGTATGAACCCACGAGTAGGCGTATGATTACATGCTGATGATCAGTGTTGGTAAGCTTCCATTATATTGACTGTCTTAATCGCAAGCTGACCAGTAGTGAAGATCCCACTATCACCGAACGTCGACGACGGCAAGTGAGTCCACCCAAAATATTCCTTGTAATTAGAAACATGGTATTGATGATCAGCCTTTACCTCAATCTCCTCATTGGCGAAATACTTCACTTCCTTCTACCGCCATCTCCACTCGGCTTCCCGATGATAGATCCCTCCGTCTGGCTTTGAGCCGGAGTATCGATATGCGCACACCAAGAGGTCAAAGTCCTGACTTGTCCCCACAAGACGTGCCGCGCACCAATTCTGTCAAAGCAGTGAACGAAGTAGGGACGACAGCTCGACCGGGAACACCAATCTGAACGCGGCCCGTGCAAAGTGGCCAGTAGATGGATTTTCGGATTATTGTCTGACCGACTCATTCACAAGTGATGTAGCGACGTGCGACATACGATTTACAACGACGAGCACTTCACTGTCTGAATGCAACTACCATATATTGTGAGGAATCAATTATCCCATGAGCCCTTGCAGATAGACTCGAATGGTCAAGCTTCAATATACCTATTTACGCAAGCATATGTTATACCCCGACCTCCCTCTCATACCTCTCCTCATCAGCTTCTTCCTCCTCCGCATTCCTCCATCCCCTCACACGTTCCACAGCCCTCTCCCAACCTCTGATCTTCCGCGCTCGTTCTGTCTCGTCGATGGAAGGTTCAAAGACGTCCACATTCGCCGTATTGACCTCTGTGAGAGTTTCAGGACGTGTCACATCCCATCCGAATAGACCCAGGGCGTGAGCGGCAAGAAGGGCCGAACCAAGAGCTGTAGATTCGCGCATGGAAGGACGGGAGACTTTGAAGCCGCCGATCTGAAATCAGCGTCATGACAGCGCTCAACACTCTCGTGGACCGATATCAAGTCAGTGAGGGGTAAAACTCACGTCTGCTTGAAGCTGCATAGCGAGGTCCGAGTTGGTCACTCCGCCTGTATGTCAGCGCCGAATTCAAGCGATACAAGACTAATTCAAAAATCTGATAAACGCCCCGACTGTGAACAACCGGTGAAAGCATAGAGTGTTCAGAAAGGAAGACTCACCATCCACCTTCAGAGTATCCGTTTTGACACCCACTTCATGCTCTATGACGTCCAATACTGCTCTAGTCTGGAAACACACTGCTTCGAGAGTCGCACGAGCTATATGGGCAGGTGTTGTGTAACTTGACAAACCGATTAGTGCCCCGGTCTAGATATCAGCTCGTTCGATTGCTTCGTTGCGGCTACTCACGGCATCGGGATCCCAATATCTGTAGGTCAGCGTTACTCTATTGCTGCCGCGCTGCCAGGATTGCGGGAGTTCGCCTGATCATCGTCAAGATGATGATAATCGAGTATCGTAAAATGAGGAATGGGGGACTTAGTAGGAGCATGGCAGCTTGGAAGGATCAAGCTAAGAGTTGAATATGTGATACTCACGGGGCTAAGAGACCACTGAACGCAGTCACAAAGTACACTCCACCGGTATCGGCCACTGAACCCGCCAATGCGTCCATCTCTGATGATTCTTTGATCAGATGCATCTGGTCACGTAACCTATGATCAGCCCATCTATCAGCCTTTCCCCTGTAGACGAAGGCCTATCGAGGGTCATTTAGTCCGTGTTCTCCTTCGACACTGGTGCTGTTTTATGTATCGTCCACCACCGTAGACATTCAAAAACATACCTCGTACCGCTGACCGATCACCTCTAATCTCTGATCGCAAGATGGGACAGGAATTTGAACTCGCTCACTCACCATTTCACCGCAGATCCAGCAACAGCAATACTCCCTTCTAACGCATAAACAGGTCTCTCCCCAGGTCCAGGTTGATAAGCCACCGTACTGATCAATCCCTGTTTACTCCTCACTAACTCTTCCCCAGTATTGAACAACACAAAACTCCCAGTACCATAAGTATTCTTAGCTTCACCTTTTGACAAACATTTATTTCCTACTAACGCCGCTTGTTGATCGCCAACTATACCAGCTATAGGACAGCCACTCAATGGTGTATGGAGTGAAGGAGATATATAACCGTATATCTCGGAAGAAGAGACGATACGTGGAAGACAAGAGGGTCGAATGTTGAAGAAACGTAATAATGGAGGATGCCAAGAGAGGGTTTTGAGAGAAATGAGAAGTGTACGAGAAGCGTTGGTTGCGTCTATTATGTGAAGACCGTTGTCTTTGCCTCCTGTTAGGTTCTGAGTGTGAGCTGACCTAGTTTCTTTACCTAGTCAAAAAGTCCAGGGAGTTGGGCGAAGAAAATACAATAGCAGATGATCAGACGTCGATTCAAAGTCGTTAGAAACAACAGGGCGGGCGACAAAAGGCTAATGACGATGAAAGGTGGAAGGATCTAAGATGGGAAAGGGAGAAGGAGTAAGGGGAAGGAGGAAACAGACATACGTAGACAAGCCAAGAATCTACAGTTCCGAATAATAAATCATCCCTCTCATGCGCTTCATGTACGTTTTTATGATGATTTAACATCCAACGTAATTTTATAGCTGAAAAGTATGTCGATAGAGGTATTCCTGTACTATCCTTGTCAGTCTGGTGACACCCTTCCTTTACAAACCCCTTTGTCTTGTTCCATGAGCTTGGACCTCCAACCCGAAGAGTGAGTGTCCGAGAGAATGACATTATTGGGAAGTATGGAGAATATACGACTTACATATCTACTAAACCCTCTTTACCTTTCCGACTCCTTTTCGCCCTTTCCGTCCCCCTCATTCCCAGTTGACCCATGATATGATTTACCGCACCCTTCAGTCCAGTAGAATCATCCTCCACCTCACCTCTATTCCCAAATGCTTCTTCTTGAACACCACTACCCATCCCTTTCTCCACTTCTTCATTTGGAGGTTCACCCTCTTCATCGTCAATCTCTATACCTTCTTCCTCTAATTTCTTCTCGTATTGCCTCACCAACCCAGCAGTACGAGAATCGTCCCATACTATAGCGTTACATAATGGTTCGCCTGTAGATCGTGACCAACATAATGTAGTTTCACGTTGATTGGTGATACCTATTCATCAGATTGATTCTTATCTCATATGAACCTCCCATGCTGGACTGAACACTGCAGGCAAGGGTTGTGTAAATTGTGCACGGGAAAGAGGGATAAGTTTAAGAGGAACGAACCTATCCCTTTGATACTATCCCTATGCCAACCCATCCATTCTAACTTCTCCACACATTTATTGATACATTCCAACATACATTCCACTAAATCTTGAGGTCGCTGTTCGTGCCAACCGGCATGAGGCAGAATCTGCTCGAATTCTTGTTGATGCTCCGCTATGATCTTTGCGTGTTGGTCGAACACTATGAATCTGGTGGATCTAGTCACATGAGACTCCTTTCTCTTCCTTCCTCCTTCTTTCAACTGATAACATGAATCGTGTGGAGAGGGAGACGAGAGAGATAACCCACGTAGTACCGCAATCCACACTAGCGATAAACTCTCCATGTCTCCAAGTCTTCTTACCTAGATCGTCCACGTCTGGGGAACCTATCCTACTGATGGCCAGGTTGCTCAGTGGTAAGATAGGAGAACCAGCGCGTGAGAGTAATGAAGGTGTTGCGGGTGTGGAAGTACCCTCTCTCGACTGAGGCATCTTGTATAGGGAGGAGACGAGGGGCGTGAGGAAGGGGAGAGGTGGGGGAAGAAAGTGGGGGCCCAGGTCTGGGGAGGAAAGGGTCACCGTGGGAAAGTAACTGGGGGAAACACCCGTGGGAAGATTTTCTTCTCGTCAAGAAAGCTGGATGATGGATGGGATGAATGAAAAGACAGTATGATACTCTCGTCTGACATGATGTTTAGATGAAAGAAACTCGATATGTCAAACGAAGAAACGGATTCTCATCCCCTACTACCTACCACACTACCTTTCCAAAGATCTGAATCAAGAGCTAGTTCCTCTTCTCGGCCTACTTCCAACACATCAAGAAGACCATCCGTCACACCTCCATCTCAAAACAAAGCTCGCTTGTCTGATGACGTCTTACCTCCGACTCGTAGAGGATCCAGTCGTTCTTCTGAGGGTGATAACATAGGTCCGTCTCGTCTCCCTTCTTGCTCCCACTCAGCTGCTACAGTATAGCCTATAGCCTACACCTCACCCTTTACCTTGGTCCTCCAAGCGGGCGGTATGAACAAAGGATAGGCTGACGGTCTCACAGTAATTTTCAAAACCCCAGGGTCGAATGAAGACGATGACGACCTCGAGAGAGGTCGGGGTCATCCAACCGAAGGGGATCATACAGACTCATCACCTCTGCTAAGTCGACATGAACAAAGCAATGATGAATTCGAAGAGTTGGTACATTTCGAAGGACCAAATTCAGCTTCCAGAGGGACTATGGGGGATAGTATAGCCAATGTAAGCTATCATTGGATCTATCAAGAAGCTGACGGGAAAGATGGCCAATAGTATACTAGGAGCTGGTATTATAGGTCTTCCTTATGCCGTCGCACAGGCGGGATTCATCATGGGCGTCACTTTGTTGGTCGTGTTGGCTTTTGTGACGGATTGGACTATCAGGTTGGTGGTTCTGAATGCCAAACTGAGTGGGAGAGAGTCATATACCGATGTGAGTAAATCTATCATGTTCTTCGTTGACCCCTTCATCTCCACGTTTCGGTGGACCAGATCACTCTCGATGGAATGGTTCACTTCTTCGAGGCCCAGGTCACACCGCATGGAATGTTCATTTTATGGGCGGATGTCAAGGAATGTACTGATGACATAGGTCATGTATCATTGTTTCGGTCAATGGGGTTCAACCTTAGTATCTTTCTTTCAATTTGCATTCGCTTTCGGAGGGTCAGTACCTCCATCATCCCATCCATCCAAGTGCTGACTATAAGCATGTGCGCTTTTGATGTCATTATGTGAGTTCTCAGAAGCATAGCTATCCTTTCTTAGACAAGAGGGGCAAGACTAATGAACCAGAGGAGATTCTATAACTCCAGTCATTGCTTATCTCTTCCCTTCTTTATCCCACCATGCCATCCTACGTCTTCTGGTAGATAGAAGAATAGTCATTATCATCTGCACTCTCTGCGTCTCCTTTCCACTTTCCCTTCATCGAGATATTGTAAAACTTTCCAAATCATCTTCATTCGGTATGTCTTCTCTTCACTGTTTGACATTGATTAACGAATAGCATTGGTATCCATGGGTATCATCGTCATTTCTGTTCTTCTAAGAGGGGCAGCTGTGGATTCTTCGTTACGCGGTTCTCCACTTCACGCAATATCTTTCATCCGACCTGGGGTTTTCCAAGCTATCGGTGTCATATCTTTTGCTGTAAGCCCCCAACGATGTTTCATTGGTGAGAAGAGCTGATCGATAGTTTGTTTGTCATCACAATACCATGTTCATATACCAATCAATACATACTCCTACTTTAGATAGGTAAGACTTCAACCTCTTCTTCACATTCGAAATCATCTCTCCCCTTTCCTCTGGCTGGATTCGAGCATTCCTTTTCTTCCTTTCTCATGGCGTGGAAGTCAGTCGAAAAAGTCATTGAGTAGTTAGTGGCTGACTCCCAGATTTTACGCAGTGACGCACGTTTCAACGGGGATGAGTCTAATTGCATGTTTACTCATGGCTGTCCCTGCTTATTTGGTGTTCACAGATAAGACAGAGGTGAGTTCCTTTTTTCCCTTCTGATCGTCAACCCCTATATCCACTGTCAAACCCGAGGTAAGACGACAAACTCACAATGGGGAATTATTCTCACGATTTCAGATGGAGGGGTGATACTGATATCAGGGAAATATCTTGAACAATTTCGCAAAAGACGATTTGATCATCAACATTGCTAGATTCTGTTTTGGGGCCAATATGTCGACTACAATACCTTTGGAGAACTACGTTTGTCGTGAGGTACGTTTTCCCTTCCACTACTCCTTTTGTTTTCACCTTACGACCCATCTATTCCCCTCCTGACTCTTGCCACTTACAATACTTCCGTTTTTGAAAGGGTTCTCAAATCTCTTCATCTAAGAAAACCAACACGGTGACATGGCCATCTTGATACTGTTCCATTCAGGCTTCTGTGTTAGGTGCAAGTAGTCACGTTGGGTAGGATATGGCTAAGATTAGGTCATAGAAGAATACTTTTACAAAGATAAACCGTTTAGTCAAACGAGACATGTGGTCATCACGTTTCTTATCGTTTTTAGCACCATGACCAGTGAGTTTTGTTTGTCTTCTCTCTCTCTTTCTCTCTCTCTCTCTTTCGTCCAAGTCCTCATATCCTTTCTGTCCGACATTCTGTTTACATTCCTTCTATTCAAAGAAGTGTCTAGGTGTTGAATCCCCACTATTTTCCAAACTGACTAGCAGTCTCGTTAGTCACATGCGATCTGGGTGTGGTTTTAGAATTAGCGGGAGGACTCAGTGCTACAGCATTAGCGTTCATCGTCAGTGATTTTTTCCCTTTTCTTACCTCTCATAACTACCTCTTCACTCTTTTCCCTCTTTCACTTCAACCAAATCTCCCTTCTTCCCCCTCTCTTCGATATTTTCGGCTTTCTACACATGTCTGTCCCTACATCCGTCTCGTCTCTCCCTTTACCCCGAAGACTTTCCAACCCCCCTGATCTTTCATCGACAACCTGTCACCTATTTTGTGCTTCACTCAAAGGAAACAATCAATGACCGAGACTAATGACCAGTTCCCCGCAGGAGCATACTTTACTTTACTCCGCGGTCCATGGTATTCCCGTCAAAAACTTCCCGCTGTGATATGTGCAATATTCGGATCCATCGTACTTCTCTTAAGCTGTGGGATGGCTTTGACAAAAGCTATGACAGGAGAGAAAAGTGTGAAACAATGTTTATAGATATATTTGCATCGTCATGATATTTACGATCTTTTATGAATGAAATCTTTGATATTATTCTCCCTATTGCCACTTTCGTACACTCATATGCTGTGTTACTTTTCGCGATTTAATGCTCATCTCCTCAATTACTTCCCTGTTTTACTCTCCTTTCCTAGATCTACTGTGGCTCGAATACTCTACTTTTACTTTTACTTTCTCCTCTTTTGAGATGTATGCTATTGTTATTGTGTCCTGTCGTATGATCATGATGTTTCGTCTTCCTATACCGTCTATATGCAAATTCCGTCGAATTGATGGACATGGTGTGGAGGTTAGATCAAATTGGATTATTCTTCTTGAGGAATTCAGGAATGTACCAATTCCCATCGAGACTCATTGTGGTCGCTAAACGTGGATGAAGCTCAACTTGGAATGTATCGAATGGGAACGCCTCGCCGTCTGGGGGTCAGAATTATACCATGTGTAGCTGACAACGAAGAACATTGTGATACACAAAATAAGGATTGGCACCATGAACAGAGACGTGGGTGGAGAAGATATCAAGGGATAATTGAACATCAGGCAGGTGTTTGATCTAACAGGAAATCAGGGAGGGGAAGAAAGTTATAGTGAAAATGAAGGGAGATGGATGACATATGTTCAGAAAACAGAGAGATATTGGAAGTCGGTGAACGATATGACAAGCAAGAGAAGTAAGTAATGAGAAGACGGGATTGAAGACTGACCTATTGTGAAGGATGGTTGTTTAGGTTTATCAGAATTTTCAGCTATGAAAGCAGTTACTATTTGTTAATCTCCATTTACTTCCTTCCATCTTCAACTGACATCTAGGATCCTACAAAAGGTATTAAGTGAGAGTTCAATTGTTAAAATGATAGATTAATTCTGGGAGAGTTTTAGGGTGTAAATGGGAAGGGTCAAGGAAGAGAGAAGAGGGGGATAAATGAAAATACTGTACCTTTGTAATAATGTTGTTCTTCGGCCCAGTAAGTTTCTCCTATCTCAGCTGCACTCATAGAAGTTGCCATAGCTCCTCTTGACATCTATCATCAGTAAGCGTCCATTACGCCTATCACGACACCAATTCAAGTATGAGTTGATGTTAACTCACTACCGCTTGAATGACCATATCCATTGATACTGCACCCGGGGTAGCGACAGGCCATTGCAGAAGAGATTTATCAGGCCAACGAACTGATCCTGCTCCGCAGCTAGGAGTCAGCATTGACCGACTTTTGCCTGTTCTCCCCGTTACACGGTAGATATAACTTGTGCAAAATCTCTCACTGGTTGAATAGAGTGACGGACAAAGGGACATAGCGGTGTGCGACTGGAGGCGAGATAAATTCAACGAGAAAGGCTACTCACTAGACATAGATGATTCCCTCCCCATCAACCCAATCGTTATTCGCTCCTTTTCCATTTTGTCCCTTTTTATGAGTTTTCAAATGTGTTCCTGTTGATTCTATAGTCTTCCAACTTTCATCCGGTTTCAACTCTATTGGAGCTGGTAAACTCCCATCTATATCTTCCCCATTCTCCAAAGTTTCACTTACAACCTCCCCGTTCACCCTGTTTTCGCTCAACGTTGCACTGGACATTTCCTTTGAGGTGGGTTTGGAAGGAATGTAGACATTGGTTGGCGAAATAGGATCGATCCCCCCTCCGACCGATTGTGTCGATCGGACTGTCTGTCTTGCTTCCCTTGCCATTTCCACTTTATCACTGGCCACGATTTTCATACGTATTCGGCAACTCAGCTTTTTCTGGGAGATGAGTCCACGAAGATAACCATAAATGAATCTTGAATTTCCCATCCATCGTAGATGTTCAGTCCCAATGTCGAGATCAACCATTAGACCCATGGCAGTAGCGAGGAAAGACCAGCGACGAGTCATGGAAGGGAGAAGAAGAACTGAACAAAGATCCATAGGTAATGGTTGACCTGATATCAGCTGATCTGGCGATGATAGATATTATCTGATCGTAGTGTAAAGTAATATAGCAGTACATACCTTTGATGATATTCAGACATGCTATAGGGACGAGATCATAATCCTCAGGACCGAGAAGGTTTACACATAGAGCATTGGCCGAACCTTCGAGATAAGCTCACTCATAGTCCTGTGATAAAGAGAAATTACCGGTAGGGATAGGGACCACGGGAGTTTTGAGAGCTTTTCTAGCATCTGATCTGGCAGCGAGACCGTTAAGAACTTCATATACCAATCCATCCCCAGATGCGGTGGCTATGACACTGATATGTGAGTATGAAAATACGTATATGATCGGGGAGAAAAACTCACTCGTACTCTAAATTTATCTGTTGAGCAATTTCTTCAGCATGCAAGCGATGTGTTGTCTCTAGTTCATCAATCTCGGTATGGGTGTAGAAGGTACGTTGTTGTGCTCACCTCTGAGATCGACAGTACATCCTGCTGCTTGAAGAATGGGTAGGACTGTATGTCGTACGATACTCTCCGATTTACCTTTACCTCCTATAGGGTTGACCAGGAGTAATATCTCTCGAAATGGTTTGGCACCTACCTTATCAGCTTGCTCCTCTTCACATATACCTACCTACCTAAACTCAACGAGACATTTGATAGGTTCAAGAAGAAAGTGAAGAGGGAGAAGGGGAGTAGTAAATGAGAGATTGGGAGTAAAAAAAAGCAAAGACACACCCCTATAAGCAGCCAACATGACAGCTTCGACCCATTCCTCCGCCTCGGGTACGTTGATAGGTTCCACCAACACATGTATTTGGGATAAATGACAAGTACGACCTTTCCTTATCACACTTGACAAGTCGAGTCTTCTTCGGGTTCCTGACTCTCCTTTGGCCAAACTGACACGTAGGAGGTATCGTATTGGACATGACAGGAGTCTTTTCGGAGCTGAACCATGAGCTTTACGTGTGGAAGGTAGACATGAAAAGGAAGATGAAGGAGGAGAGGAGGGCTGACGATTGCCATCTCGTGATAGTTGAAGGACTTGTAAGATATCGTCTTCTAATACTAGCAAACCTCTTTTGTCGTTATGTAATATGACTGGGATATCTTGAGGACCCATGAGGGATCTACTCATGATAGGTAGTGTAGATGCAAAGTGAGTGGGAGGAAGATATCAACCAAGTAAGTGGTGGTTCGCTACGCACGCGACTTTGTGACGCCCTTTCTCGTTTGAAATCTTTCACACTTTACACCATGTTCTCAAGTAGATGACGATATGACAATATGACTCCTAAAGTCCTTCTGGAAGACGGACTCGCTCCCAATACTAGACCTTTGATACCGAAACAGGTTGATCCGGAACATGACGACTGCGAACGTCATGAGGGCAATGGACACCTTCACCTCTCTCATCCACCCAGGGCAAATTTCTCAACTCTCATAGCTTCATACCCACTCAAACTCCTCGCTCCTTCTCCTCTCCCCTCACAGCCTTCGAACATAGCGACATGTTATACTCTCGCATACGGAGGTGGACTAGTAGCGGGTGATCTCATCTCCCTCCGTGTGGACATCGATCAAAGCTGCGGTCTCGTCATGCTCACTCAAGGAAGTACGAAAGTTTTCAAAAGTCGTCCAAATCTTCGACATCTTTCATATCCCTCCCCACTTTCACTTACCTCTTCGAAGACCGATATGACCCGTCAACGTCTACATGTCACACTCCAACCTAAATCATTCCTCCTTCTAATGCCCGATTCCGTGGCTCCATTTCGAAATTCCAAGTATTCTCAAACGCAACGGTTCCTCTTACCAGCGGATAACTCGGCTTCGTTGCTTCTACTAGATTGGGTGTCTTCGGGAAGAGGTCAACGTCATTCCTCCACATCTTCACGACGAATTTCTGCCGGAGGGACTACAATACCTGGAGACAGGGGAGATACTGGAGAAATGGAAATTTGGACCATGGAAAGTTACGCTTCCACCAATGAGGTATACTTAGGCGATCGTCTGGTTATGCGTGAACGTATGGTGCTGAATAATCCTCCTGAATCTCTCAAATCATTTCAAGGTGACGGAATGTCAGATGTCGCAAGGCGATTAGCACCTTATAATGTTTACGCTACAATTCTCATCCTTGGTCCTCATTTCGAAAGTCTGTTAACGCATTTGGCAAAGTTGGTTCACGCCACAAGACAGTTCCAAGCTCAAAAACCGGAGAAAGTGTTGTGGTCTTTCAATCTTGTTGAGAGCGGAGCGGGGGTGTTGAGGGTAGCTGGGGAGGAAGTGGAGGATGTAAGGGGTTGGTTGAGGACTGTATTAGGCGATGGAGGGGTGAAGGAGTTGGTCGGGGATGGTCTGTGGGGAAGGATCATCTAACGAGGACACAGTATATATTCGGACGACATGGCATTCAACAACATCATGACATTCCACGATGTACATCATTCCACAAGAACCTCACATTCATTCACGATGCTGACTGGTTCTGACAGATTCTTCATCATTTCATATACAACGGCGATGCGACTAAGCGCTGTGCGAAAGCAAGGAAAATCAGAGCTGCGACATTATGTTGAAAGGTGAAAGCAGTGAAAGCTCAACAACCTCCTCCCCCTCCCCCTCCTCCACCGCCGCCGCCACCACCACCACCACATCCTCCCCCGCCACCTCCTCCGCCACCTCCGCATCCGCCCCCACCTCCACCACCACCGCATGCACCACCTCCCCCGGCGCCCCATGCTCCATTTCCCGCGAATCCGCCAGCAGTATACATTCCGGGAAACCCAGCTCCACCTCGCCGTCGCCGACGTCGTCTTCCCCATTCCGGTGGGGCACTAGGATCACTATTCGTCAGTTTGTAGGTCTATTGACACACATGATGCCAATTTCCTTTTCATCGGATCAAAGCTCTGAAAGATCATACGGGTCGAATGACAGACTCACCTCATACAGCACCCCCCTCCTCGAAGACGCAATGTTTGGAACTTCGACACACTCTTTGATTCGAGCGTGAGACCCTTTGGCGATTCCTCAGCACTGGCACCTTTCGGCGCTGTCCTGTGAGTAAACGGACTCTTGTAGAGTAAGACTGATCCTCACCAGTTTGAATCTTGTACTTGCTGAATGGAAGCAGATCAGCAAATCTCATCTTGACAGAGATCAGATTGTCTGGACAAAGTGGCGAGTATTAAGTCAATTTGTCAAGAACGTAAGTAAGTTATCATGCTTTTTATACACGTTTTGCACCTTGATACTGACGTCGAGCGGTGCTCCCTGCGTGTCGATCAAAGGAACCCTGTACATCGCTTACAGTAGTACACCGCCACATCAACATGATATCATGACATCAGAAAGTGGATTTGGTGGATAACATCACTGATTACCTATCACATCTTCATTACTCAAGTACCTCTCAATATGGTCTCACCGGAGACTAAATCTTGTCGACACGAATATACAATCTGATCATCAACGCTCTTCTCTTCTCCGGTCGTCTTCCTTCCAATCTGTGCTGATCTGTCTTTGGTAACAGAAAATGATCTTTGGCAAAGAAGCAATGTACCATCCCAGATGAGTGAGTCAGACATCATGGTGATAGAGATCGAGCATGATTCAAAGAAAATGAATGTTCTTGGAGTAAAACTTACAATTCACATCACGCTTTAGTCTTAGCAGGTGATTTAGTCGTTTTAACCCCTGTAGTCTTCGAACCGGCTTTCGGTTCTTTCCCTTTACTACCAGGCTTTGTCTCAGTCTTAGATTTAGGTTTGTCGATCTTGATAGGACTGGTCTTGGTTTTACTCGCTGTTGGGCCGGTCATGATGAAACGACGGAAAGAAAGAGAAGTTTGTCGAAAGATGATGATTAAAGTGGATAAGAGAAGATAGATGTGATAGATGGGGAGAAGGAATATGAGAGAGTTATGGAGAAGAAGAAGATATAATCAGCGAGAGAGAACGATAGGTGGAGGATGGGGATTGTAAGGTGGGAGATGAGAGATGTAGGGTGGTGGACGGGAAGAAAGTAAGACGTATATGATTGCTATATCGTGAGTTTGTATTCCTTCGTTCTCATAATCCCATACTCTTTTATTCTCCCACATCCCATACTTTCATACTCCGAGTCATAATTTACTCGATCTCACACAAATCTTTCACATACACCCATGTCCCATATCGTACAATATCAACCTTACGAAAACACCTCACACCATTTTCCCATCCTCACCGTCTCCACTACTCAACATCTTCACAAGACCGATCATCCACACATACACCATCCTCACGAGGAAGAAAGGGAGACACATAACTCACCAAATTGTATCCCTTGTTAATCCTCCAGAAAGTATTCTTCAGCGTTTCTCAAACTTCGATTTTTGTTTGACGAAAAGTCTTATCTATTCAATGGACTTGGGGTGAGAAATGAAATATTCTATCCGATATATATCATCTTCCATTCCCCCATATCGGAAAGAAAGATATTCGTCATTTCGAACCGTGAGAACCGATACACCTTCATGCAGTCGGAATCTTGTTCACATAAACCCTCAAATTCAACGAGGTACAGAAGTAAATCATTCCTCTTACTCCTTTTTTCCTGGCATCAAACGCCCTTAGGATCAACGGGGCGTAAGTAACCGGACAAAAACGAGACGTTTCTTGGACTAGGTTCTTGGGATTGTAAGAGTACGTACACTCTATTCCCGCTGAAAACGTACTTTGTAAAAGAGTACGATGGAAGTACGTGGGACTCTGGGCGGAAAGAAGATGAGAAGAAATGATGTGACGTTTGGCGGGATAGACGATAACCGATGTTATACGATACTGTACATCCCTTCCCTCCCGGATGATCGATGAGAGGATTGCGATGTGAAAGTGGAGGTGATACAAGGGTGAAGGTGGGGCGAAATGGAGATTCACAGACATCTTAACAAAATGCATAGTAGGAGTACAGTATTATCAACATGATGATAAGATTCAAGTGATGAGTACAAAGTTGAAAAAAAAAAGTTTATGGAGATAGAACACACTTACCAATAAGTACACCATACACAATCGACTCTTTTTTCAATAATGATGATCAAACGGATTGATATTCTCCCACCGAAGCAAAACCATCAACGAAAAATCCAAATCTTCACAAAATCAAAATCATCCATTGTCGTACTTCCTCCCTTACACGACTCCATGACAATTTCAAACATATTATTCGTACTGTACTAGTAGAGTACTCTACTCTATACAGTATTTGACAAACGTTTTTTTCATTTCCCAAGGATCTTCACTGCCTTCTTAACCTTTCCACTCATCGTACTCACCTTTTCTGAGAAACGTACGACATGTTTCCTCGGTTTTGCACTTACGTGTCCTTTCGAATCGTACGTCATCCTCTGAGGGATATGATCTTTCCCAGTACGAGTACGAGTAATGTTATACTGCGCATTTTCATCCCGTGTAGGGTGGTGTCTCATGGGTGAAATATTCGGATTGATGACACGATAACTCTCAGTGAATGATGTGTGATGTTGTTGTTGATTTGGTAGGAAGGTGGAAGGGAATGGAATAGTGGTTGCTTTTTGTTTATATCTTTCAAGTTTTGGTGTACTTGTACTTGTTTTCATGTAAGGAGATGATGAAGGTGAAGGTGAAGCTAAAGGTGACAAAGGTGACATACAAGTATGTACGGTTTGTAAACCTTTATGAATACCATAATGTTTATGACGAGAAGTGGGGAATAGTTTAGTCTTTTCAATTGGACGTTTGGGATAAAGTCGATTTGGTTCTCTGACTATTAGCTATCTACATAACAAATAGAGTAGGAATGTCAAAGATGTGTTAGGGTGTTTTGAAAGGGAAGGAGAGAATAGGGGAAGAGAGATGGGAAGATTTACTTGTTCATACAGCAAAACATATCCCACATACGATTTATGAGGAATTCGATTCTTGTGATATTGTCAATCGAAGTAAAAACCTGTTAGTTGATATGTACTACCCGTGGATCTATGGATCAGTCAAAGATTCTGGAAGATGATCAATTAGTAAATCACTTGAAGGGCTACAAGACGAGTCGAGTAGTCAGTCAGAAATTGCCAAAAGGTGTTCAGAGGGGAAGATTGGTTAGAGGGGTCAGACGAGAAGACGAATAAGACGAGATGGGTAGAAAAGGGTACGGTGAACCCCTCTGAACTTTCTCAAAACGTCATTTTCACACGCTGAGGTAGATATGTCAAAGGATGTGTAGAAGAAAAGTGGAGCTTTTGATCAGTGTTCATATTCGGTCAAAATGGACTTTCTCCTCCGCGGCCGAGATTCAACGTTCAGTTTTCTTCAAGCTTTCATAGCGATGATAGAATAACATACGTACGACTACTGTTATGGCGACTTATATAATCATCCACTCCTCAATATGTTCATCCCACTTGATAATACCTCTACATATCCCACATCCTCGCTCATTCTCCCCGGCGTTGGTTTATGGTCTATATCTCAGCGAGGCTCATGTGGGAGGTGTAAAGTGTAATGCAAGATCGGTAAAGGTCAAGGAGGATGATGGAAACTCACAATAGTCTCAAAGATTGGGTGTAACTTGCCAAGGGAGACTGGGGAGACAGACCTGTTGAGTCAGCGCCAAAATCGAATACCATGACCAAAGACTCACTCGTAGATCCTACTTCGGCGCGTTGGGATCTTTCTTCTTGAAAAAAGGAAGAAGCCATCCGAACAATACTGTTCGAGACTGGTTGCATGCTATCGGTGTTGTTGGAATGACTCGGTTCTGCTGTAACGCTACTGTACCTGGCTTGGCCCGACCACTTGATGACTGATTAGATCCTATCTTTGAAGATTGGGAGGAGATTGTGAGGACAGTTGAGTGAGACTGAGAGCGGGGCGATGGTCCAAGTCAGATGGCGCATCCCAAGTTACTCCTTATATGTACAAATTGTCACTCAATACTGTAGTTACTTAGCCGTTTGATCAGTCACAATGGCCCCGAAGTCGACGAGTGGTTCGCAAGAACTGCTAGCCCACACCCAAAGAGGGAGTTCCTTGATCGCCAGAATGCCCGATACCTTCTTATGGATTGGTCAGACGAGGCGTATCCTGGAGACCGAATGTCTCATGAGCCAGTGGCTGTGCTAGGCCAAAGAGAGTGATCGTATTGTAGCCAAAAGGAGTCATGGGCATTACCACTAGGCCAAGGCACCCGGTGACTTCTGTCAACTGAATGTCAGTATTTTCTATCGCTTGGAGTTGCAGGATGAGTCGATAGTCGGAGATGGACACGCTCACCCTTCAAGTAGTAGACTTCTGCCGAACTACCTCATGCTGTTCCGCATCAACAGGGAGCTGCGACCTGTGTACTCCTCCCCGTGCTCGCCAAGTCAATCGGATGTTGTTTTTGGTTCAAAACAACTCACCAGCATAAGTGGGGAAAGCCGGCGAGACGGCGTCTTGTTGACATTGCACGTGCCGTCCTGTTGCGTGTATGATTTTAAACAGGGTCCGAGTAGTAGAGAGAAGCTTTTCGATTTTTAAGGATTAGTAGAATCGTATTATGAACAAAAGTAAGAGTCCAGACCATAGTGCATACGCTCACGATATCGATACGTCCTGACAGCGAGGTGGGACGAAGGAGGATGTTCGAAAGTGTCGTTCTGCACAATGATCATGTTGATGTGGCCGCACGTCGTGTCAGAAAGCGTGAATTTGTGTAAGACATATTTTGACATTGACATTGTATCCTCTTGTTTGACATCATGACTCGTGTTGCAGTAAGAAACGCCATCGATCACCACATCATCTCATCTTCAACCCCGGGCATGCTGTCCATCAGCTACTGCCTTCAAGGTCGTAGATTCAGGCAACCTAGAACACGGCTAGGAACCTCACCTGAGCGGTAAATTCTGAAGCCTTTTTGAAGAATGCTTTTCGATCTGAGCGATATTGTTCGGCCTGACCATCAGCGTCGTCACAGCGAGAAAGGACTAGCTGACGATTGAGGAAACGAGGGGATCGTCTGGGTTGGGTGTTTCCAAGAGATCATATATGGACATGAGGACTGAATTTCAGCGACTATGAAGCCCATAAAGCTAATCAGCTGACCGTGTGTCATTTTAGTCGGAGGTTTCCACTGGTCCGTTTTGAGTATTCCGAGGCATATACTGAGACTTTAGCTTGGGGATTAGTTTCAAGAAAAGTCACTCACCTACCGTCAGAGTCGACATTTGGATGATATATTTTGGTCATAAATTTGACCTGTGTGTGTCAGTCATTATCGTTTCCGCTGAATATGATTGCTTCGTTCGTCCGATATCCAACATATTGCGGATGGAAATGCTCCCGTCATAGTCAGAAGGGCGATGGAATGTGGCAAGCAAGAATAGAACTCACCTGTGGAGCTCGAAAAGGATAATCATGTGCGAATTCAACATTCAGATGAAACTTGCCACCTTCATACGGAGAGCCGGGCTTATCGTGAGCATCCTTCCCACCTGACATACAGTACTTAGGTCGTGTGAGGTGAGACGAGAGAATGATACGCACTGGCCCTTTAATCTCCACATCCCATTTCTGCAAGTTACTCTCATTTGGAGTGATGGTGATACCTGGTAGAGGTTCTGCGTACATCTCATTGAGTTCCTAGATGATCAGCTAAGTACAACCTTGCTCGAAGCTTGGAACAACTGGACATGGGCGGTGAGGGGCGGCGAGGAGGAGTAGGAGTGAAGGTGAGAAGAGGGACAAGAGCCCTACCCTCTGTATACGCCTAGTGGATGTTGATGTCATTATGGTTGTGTTCCACCGCTGTGTATACGAGCTGTGTGAGTGGTGACTGTCAAAGTGATAAAGATGGAGAAGAGAGAAGAAAAGTGGATCAAGTCGAGTTGACTGGACGGACGCACAGACATTTCCGTCCGAGCGCAAGGGCCCCTAGCGTCATGACGTCCCACATCCCTTTCCGACGGAAACAAAGTCACCCTCACTCACTTTGATACTGTGCTCTCTGACCCTTCATTCCTCCCCAAAGCAAACCCCTCACCCCCCCCTATAAACCCCCCTGCCACCCACTCATGCTACTCTCCTCCTTATGTCTCTTCTTTCTCCCCATAACTTCCGCGGCAGTCGGGAAACCCCTCCCCCGACCGCCTCGATGTCTTCCATCGGGTGACGAGAAACCTATCAACGATGCTTTTTCCAAAGGTCAGTCGTCTTCACCTCATAGCCCCCGTGCTGACGTGTAGGTGGGAAAGGAACGACTGTATTACTATGTCCGGGTTCTGTTCATCGTCTCAGAAACCCAGTCGTATTCACTGCCCCGAGACAGACGTTGACGACCGAAGGTGATCCAGCAGGCAGAGAGAGGGCTATGCTCATAGTGGAAGGAGAGGATCAAGCTACAGCTATACAGTGGGTCTTATCGGATATCATCAAGGTCATAACCATATAAAATGACTAACGAAACAGTGCCGACTGTAAACAATGTTCATGGGCTATGATACAATCTCTCATCGTGGATGGAAACAGACCTTTGCTACTACGCGTCCCATCAGGAGCAGCTCTAATAGAGGTTGGTAACGCAGAAGGACAGACAGTGAGGGATTGTAGGTTGTACGAACCGAGAGGTTGGAGTGCGTTGCACTTTCGAGAAGGGGATGATAAACAGTGTAGGAAGGGGTTGATAGTGGGGAATGAGATTGTATGTTGTATTCCTCCTCCTCAACTCTTTCCCACTATCATTTTCCAGTTCCCGTCAATCACTTCCGTTCATGTCTCTCCTGGTTCACTCTCAATCCATGTCGAGCAACCCCTACTTGCCATCTTGTTCTAACTTCGCATGCTTACTCGTGTATAATAGGAAACACCATTCTATGGTGGAGCTTACGACTAGGGCCCGTGTGGGGAAGAATGGGATGACGAGTATGATGGTGTGGTAGAGCGTAGTCCGCCATGGGGTAACCCACGTTCGGACGGTATCAGTTTAGCATGTCAAGACTCTTTAGTGGAAAAGAATGTGAGTCGAGATGATTTCACATTCTAGCTAATGGGATAGGTGGTGTATGATACGACTGACGGTGCTATCGTTCTGTTTGGATCAGCAGGTACGGAAGTACGATACAATGAAGTCTTTTCACGGACCAGAGTTGTTCTGGGAGGTAAGTCAAAGAGTTCTCCATTCACAAACTCTCTACACGTCTATATATCCTGCCAATCTGTCATTATAGAGTATCCCTGTCCTCTCGTATCCTTATTCCATTCGAGGAATTTCCAGCGGTGATTCACACCCAATATCATGCTTTGTAACAAGTAGCAATCCTGATTTCAGGAATAAACCTAGTCGACTACGACCCATGGGAAGGAGATTACTCCGGTGTTTCCGTTCATCATAACGATATCTCTGCTCTTTCCCGTTTTCTAAAAGTCGGTATAGTTATCGGACCATCATCATGGTCAGACGATACAGATACCACCGTTCATTCAGCCTCTGTCACCGATAATTCGTTTCACGGTCAAAACTTTGGATATGGAGTGGTCGTTTCTTCCGTCACGGGATTTACCGTACTTCGTAATAAGAAAGACGACGATGCTCAATTTGACGGAGTGAAAGGAGCTAGTTGTCCTAAAGCGCCTGAGAACGGTCGACCTACTGCTTTTTTGATCAATAGGGGAAGTGCTAAGGGTACCTTTCAAGAGGATTTTGTCAATGGGGAAGTGCAGCATGGTACGTGTATTTTCTTTCTCTGTCACCTCCCAGCTGAATATCTCCTTGACTCTCTGTTCCCCTCATTACTCGAGTACACTGGGACTTGCTCTCCTGGTTCTTTGAAAGTTTTCAATGTCCACAATGTCATTCCCGTTCCATCTGACTGCTCTATCTCGTCTCAGATTCATCCGACTGCTGTATCTCTTCTCATATTCATCCGACTGCTTTACGTTGAGTCATTATATGGGCTCTAACACATAGTCATATGTATTGATCCGCCACCTGATAATGGCCAACCATACGTACCTTGGCGACTGCGAGATTCTCCCGCGGCGGTAAAAGCGAAAGAAGAGCAATACGCTTTGGAACATCCCGAAGAGGCCAAGAGTGGATTTGTCAGTTCCATCTTCTTCACCATCCTCTCTCCGTCCTTATCATCTCTCCTCGGTCCTTCTTATCTCCTTATAGCTTTGCACACAGCCCCTTCACCCACTCATCCTTACCACAATCACTCTCTTCTTCCTCATCATCTCCCCATCTGTCAAGAGTCTCCCCCTCCCCTCTCCATCTTCCGAGAGTCTACCCCACCTCCCGAGGGTAAACCGTATGACGTCCAACTAACCAATAGGACTCGCGTATGGCAGACGCATTAGTATCATACCAAATGACCCTGATGAAAGCCATGGACTCATTGACGAATCAAGTTGAAACCTTATCCGTTCTCCCTATCGTTCTTCCGTCAGAAAGCCTTCAAGAACAGGTGGATGCATCAATATCGACAGGAGGAGGAGATATTTCTTCAAGGATGGGTAAATTACAAGAAGAAGAAGAAAAGTTGGAAGAGATGTTAAAAGGTATGAAAGTTGATTTTGACGCTTTGGCTCAAAGGACAAAACAAACCATTGTGAGTTATCGTTTTGTCTATCTAGCCCAAGAGAATTCAGAAATTTCTTCCATACGGTTTGAGAGATAAGACAAGGGGGATCTCCGGTTTCCGGCGTTATTTTCGTTTTAAGTGAGAGAAGTTGAGAAATTGGTTGTTTGAGATGTCATAATTCGACTGTGAGAAAGTAGAATCGCAATTCTATTTTTTGTATTCATGATGAGGTCATGGGGAATGGGAAAATGTAACAGTAGGAAAGATCCAAATGTGAAATGAGATGATCAGAAGTTTCAAAGGGGAAAAACTCACGTGGTGAGAATAAGATCTTGATGAAAAAGTACGGACGATGGTATAGATAAATATGACATCATTTGGGAAATGAAAAAAACAAAAGTGGAATGCTGACGAAAGTAGGAAGATAATAAACCTATATATAAATATATATACAATTCTATCGGTTCTCTCAAATCTTTACAAGAGTCAATACCACCATTTTCTCCCCAAAATCCACTTTCTTCACTTTCTCCACTTTCTCCACTTTCTTCTTTTGGTTCTGAAGAACGAGATTCATCAGCAGGGGAAGAAGGGAACGAAGAAGAAGTCAGTTGGTTAGGTCCTTTGAGCGTTTTAGCTGGATTTTCATCAATCATCTTAGCTGCTATGACTGTTGTGAGACGTTGGAAAAGTAGATCATCTAGAAAAGGTATAAAAATATTTTGAGAGTAGATGATACTAGAAACATACTGTATATCTTGGATGAAATTGAAACATTTGGGATCTTTATTTGATGTCGACTAAGAGTTCAATAATGATAATGAGAAATTAGATTGAACAGTGAACGATGAGAGAATCAATATTGGTTCATCGGATAAACAGATTTATAATCAAAGAAAAATGATGATCCAAATATCTTTATATTCAGTTGAGGGAAACATACAATTAAACCTAAGATTCTATTCTAACGTACTACACTTTTCTTCTTCTTTCTCTCTCTCTGCCTCTTCCTCTTCCTCTTACTTGGTCAGATACACAAATGTCTTCCTCTCCGTGATTCAGATATACAAATGCGAATGCAAGCATATCATAACTCTTTCATGATTCTTCTCGTCTTGAATACAAATAGTCCGTGAATGTCTTCTCTCCTATACACAAAAAAGGTATGGCAGTTGGTGACAGAGTGATTTCTCGTGAGATGAGCAAATGTGCGGGTGGATGCTGGATGCCAGAGGGCGTATGAGGTGAACGGAAGATTCAAGGATAAGTGACTGATGTGGGCAAGATGCACTGGCCGTCGGATCGGACGAGGTAGATGGGTTGTTGTGAATCTGCAGCGGGAGGTTCTGCAGCGGCCATGACTTCGGTACTGCTGGTCAGCTCTATCCTCAAATTGCTGATGAAGATGGCATAGAGGGAGACTTGTCAATGTGATAAAAGTCAGCCAGCCGGTGGGTGTCCCCTCACGTATGAGCAGGCTACGTCCGGAGGACAGGGGCACGGATGACGGTAGACGGTAGACAGTGACAAATCGATGAACGGGACACTCACCATCGCACTTCGTTGTAACCTGCGGGTTGAGGTCCATAATAGATTTGCCAATGTGGCGTGTTGTCCGCTCGTTTCTCAAAGTTTTTCCCATAGCTGACAGTCAGTACGATACGTTTCCTATCCAATCCACATCTGCTACTCTTGCACATCTTGACTTGACTTACGGGAACGAGGGCGGAGACGCTCGTGCGTGCAGCTTTTTTGGCACCGGAGAATGATACGACAATGCAGAGGCTCATAGGAGGGCCAGCGAAGGATGACGTGAAAGCGATATTAAACGAGAAGGCGGAGAGTAGCCGGCAGATATGGTGAACGGGGAAGGAAAGTGGACGGGAAGGCGGAGAGGGAGAGGGGCGGAAGAGTTGAAAAGGAAGGAAGAGAGAGATACACTAGAAACGAAATCACTCACAAAGTCACCAAAGGCATAGTAGCCATAGTAGTGAATTGATGTTGTAACCTCCCATGTGAAACCTCCGCACTGATATTAGGTGCCAAAGCCCTACTCAGCGTAGGAAAAGGAGCGAACGGTTCCCTGACTTCCGTAACGTAGGGAGGTACGTAAAAAGTATAAGTGATTTGTTCGGTTGAGACTATACTCCAAACGCAAACATCTCCAACGTCTAATCTCCATTGCATCCTTCTTTCTCCTTCTGCAGGTGATTGAGATTGATAAGAACCCGCATTGGAATGTGTGGGTGTATGTGTTTGACCGGAAAGAGCGACATGTTCAAAAGAAGGTGAACTTGTTATATCGGTAGAACCACGTTTTTTATGTTGTAACGGTCTACTTAAAGGACCTCTTCCTGTTGATCTGTCCTCTGACGACGTATAGGACCAGCTTCGTTAGACATACTAGGAAGTGGTACCTCTCCCGCTATGGGTGAGAGGAGTGATGATGTTGATGGTTTACGAGAATGAGGACCGAAATAATCCGAGACGGAAGATGTGGAAACGGGTGAAGAAGGGGTGGAAGGTAGATTAGCAGAAGAAGTATGTGGTGTCATAGGTAATATACCATAACGATGTTGAGGTGTTGAAGGTACGGAAGAAGGTTTCTTGTTGGAAGGAGGTATGACGGACCATTTCCTTTCCGAATGAACAAGTTTTTCTTGAACAACTTCTTGATCGCAAGATAACCATAAACCTCCATAACGAGGATCACGACCTACATGTGACATGGTGTCATGATGATAAATCTCAAAAGCGATCTTTTGGAGTTGACTGACGGGATCTCCTAAATATTCACCTTCGGGACAACAGTGAGGAGCACCAGGTTCAGGAGGATGAGTACCATCCATACCGACCACTTCGGTATCTTGTTCCATTCGTCGGATGACTAGAACGGGAGAAAGAATACCTGTTTGGAAAGATTGTAGAACAACACAAGAATTGTACCTCACCACAGGGGCGTGTGTCAACGAGGTGACGGCGTTGGAAGGGGGACTAGGCCAGTCAGGTTGAAAAGGCGGTCCGTTGCCTGGTCCATGTGGTTTGGTAGGGTCAACCAGCCAAATTATGAATGATTCCCATACGTTGGCGTTGGCAGTAAAGCCGGGGAACATGGAACGTTCGTTGGACAGAGGAGGAGGCCTAGCTCCACTGACAGGTCGACCGTCGGATCCGGTGAATCGGGTCATGTCGAGGGTTACACCAAGGTAGCGAGTGGAAGTGGTCTGCGATTTCACTCTGTTGAACAATGCAATGGTAGAACCATGATTGATCAATACTGAAAGTCAGCTTTTGTTGCTCGAGCGACAATAACAAAGGAACTAACATTCTCCCATCTTGCTGCTCTTCTTCTTACTCGGCTTAGAAATAACTTTGATCTCCTTACTCTCGAACACACCAATAATCTCATCGTTGCTGATATCCGTCAACATTCCCTTGGACATTCCCCATCCATGAGGACCAGCATGATGCTTTAACGGTGCCTTGATAGTGACCAAAGCTTTGACTTCTCGTCTCTTGCCATCATTGTCTGAAATGTGCAGATTTCTGCCCGCAACATTACCGAGGAAAGGTGCATCACTCGGATGGATAGCCTGCGTGTTGATCTTCTCATCGATGTTCTTCGCGTCGACTGTGGTCCAGCTGACAGTGGCGTCTTTCACCGGGGCTTCACCCACGAGAGATATGTTGACTCGGGGAGGTAGGATTGGAGTGACCGGGCAATTTTCCGGCGACTTGGTCCACCAAGCCGAACCGACGAGTGCCGCTTGAGGATGAGGACAGAGGAAACGTTTCTCATTACCGTAAGACTTCTGACCGACTTTAGGTGACATGACGATGATTTTACGTTCTCCAAATGCCAGTCGGTTGGGAGAGGTGACATATTCACGCAGGGCAGTGTCGAGTGTACCGGGAGAGGCAAGTGGAGGAGGAGGAGCAAAGTATGGAGGAGTGATATCTTCTATCCGTCTTCCAGGTTCTGGTACACTAGATCTATCAGGCATAAGAGCACGTTGGAGGGGATGCCAGTTTTCGAGACCTTCTCCAGGTACCCATTCCGTATTCTCTGAACTGGCAGACGAGTTGGAACCTCTGCTCTCCATCAAACTGCTATAATGCGAAGCCTTAAACATGTGCTGTTGACCCAATTGGGAAGGCGAGATAGTGCCGTATTGTTGTTGATAAGGTCCTCCTGGTGGGAAGCCAGGGTAGAAACCACGATAGGCTGGATCCCAAGCAATTCCAGGATCTCCAGCACCATCGGGCAAGTTGTAGATATTCGGTAGGGCATAGCCGTAACCTTCAAGACCGTAAGGTGGAACATGAGGAGTGATGAGACGTTCATTTTCGTGATTCGACGACACATCAGCTGTGAGACCCGAAGATGGGTTGGACGATTGAGAGGACTGGAGTTGAAAGCCAGACGGTACGCCAGAGGTGTCAAGCGCCAAGGCAGGTCTGTAAGGAAAAGGTGGTTGAGGGAGGTTGAAGTGTCCGTTTGGGTTGTATTGATTTTGAGACAATCCGAGTAAATCGTTATGACCCGTCTCAAATCCAAGACCTTGTTTTTCGTGTTCTTGAGAGTTGGGAGTGGCAAAAGGGTAATGTTGCTGAGGCTCCATTGTCACTGGCTATAATTCACCGTCAGCTCAAAAGATTCTCAAGATGGGCTGAGAGCCAAAGGGAGGGATCACTCACCCCTTGCTGCATCTGAGCCCAAGACATGTTGGGTTCGAGAAAGCTGGCGCTATGGATGGTAGGTAGTGAGACGGAGTAGCTTCTAGGGCGTGGGAGACGTTCGACAGGTGAAGTGTGACGAGGTAGTGAACTACGAGGTTGTCTATCGCAAAGGATACCACTTGTGAGGATCTTTGGTCGTTGTGGGGAGAGAGATCCTCGTTGAGAAGGGACGACTGCGGGTACGGGAGATGTACGTGGGTGAGATTGGGCGCGTACAGAAGGGGGCGGTGTGGGTGTGGGCGGCATTGTCAGCACTGCTGTTTCTTTCCTATTGCCAAAAACAGGGTTTCTTCCTGTCCGTGAGAGATGTATTTCTCAGGGTAGATTGAAATCTGACAGATGGTCAAGAACACGGTATGGGATGATGCGAAAGGGCTTTAAGAGGACAAGTGATAGGTGGGAAGCCCGATGTTCCGGGTGACACAAGTAAAAGTGTGTCAAGTGTGTCAAATGGGCAAGTGACCAGCCTGGGGAGATGAGAAAAAAACACAGGGCAGGGTTTATGTGGTAGTATGATGAGACTTGGACGGAGTGGGAAGTTTATCGGCCGTTGGGGTAAAAGACAAAGGTTGTGTGAGAAGTCTAAAGTCGAATATGTTCAAGGGGGATAAGGAGAGGGGTCAATGGCAAAGGTAGAGGTGGGTGGGAAAGTGTGAAGCACAGCTTGTTATGTTATGTCAACTCCGAAGGGGTGGGATATCGGCCGAGTGAAACGAAGGGGTGGGTTGAGATGGTGAAGAGTAAAGGTCAAATGATACTACTATTCCGTTCTTCTGAACCTGGGATACAATCTCACGAAGCAGCTTACACATAGGTCCGTTGAAACGCTTTTTCTCGTGTCTTCAGACCCGTAAAGTCGGGTCCAGGGGAAAAGAGGGGTGTGGCTGGGATAAGGGGTTAAAGTTGGTTTAGAGGCAAGGGGCAAAGGGGGATGGGAGGAACCAGGAAGGTGGTTTTGACACCTTTGACGAAGGGGTCAAAAGTACTTTTCGTGGACTTCTAGCGGAAGGTGGGGAAGTGAGTGAGCAGGTGAGGGGAAGGACAGGAGGGTGAAGACCCTTGTAAAGAGACAAAGGACGCGGAGAACATACATAACAAAGGGATCTTGGAAAGGGGAAAAGAGTGGAGGATGGACTTGCTTATGAAGATAACTTGAAAAAGGTACTCACTGATTATGTATGCTTTGTAGACGGTTGTCACCGATACCAGCTGTGAAACACAGGTTCGAGCTTTAAGAGTTTGTTAATCCTTGCCGCAGTATAATAGCCGGAAGAAATCCAGCGGATTGTTGAAATACCTTCAGTGATCACAAGATATCGGTGTCGAGTAAGTCGAGTGTCAAACCCGATTGAGGCTGTCGAAAGTAGACACCAAGTTAAAGAACACGATAGGAGCGGTCCGGAAATCAATCTGAAGTCGAGGAATTACTTGAATCCAAGGGTGAAAAGTACAGCCAAGCTAAAGGTTTTTTGATACCCGAGACCGAGGTATGATTGATTGATAAACCGATGTAGCCTGTTAAGTCAGCATCGTCCCGTCCCATCAACCACCAGCGTTTCCGTACGAAGACAACCTTGACAGTCTACGGCCCTTGAACCCTGTAAGTGACATAACAACATGAAAATTCGTGTCATCAATCAGGTAGAAAGTCCTGTCATTTTTACCAACCGGACCAACAGCGACGTACGTTCCACGATTGTGCAAAGCGGGGATAGAGGATCGTCCGATGTTTAGTGGGGGGATGCCAAACGAGGAAATAGAGCGGGGAGGAAGTAGATGTGGGATGAAAGAGTGGAGGTGACAATAGTTGTGATGGAGGGATAAGAGGAACGTACGAGTGACTTGACAGGTCGAAAAGTGGGGGATGGAGAGATGGATCAAACTGCGCAAGAAGGGCGTTTCCTTCACAAAAGTAGAAGCAAGTGGTGGGGTTCAAGATTGTGAGGTGACTAAAGAGTTATTCTGTGACGCCCTTCGAGTAGTGAACGAGGAGAGGAAGAGTTGTACAATTTAGAAGAGAATGGGAGGGAAGTGTGAGGAGGGAGAGGAGGGAAAGTGATGTGATTTGTAAACTTGTCCGTGTCAGGCACGCGATGACAACGTGGTTGCTATCAATTCTACTATGCTACTTGCTATGCACTTTGAATTGAGGAAGTATCGCAAAACGAGAAGGATGCATACAAATGTTCATTCTATGATCTATGTTTTCTTCTATATCTATCGAGTGTGTGTTGATCTTAGCAGGCAAGAATATTTACAAGATTTGTGATTGGACAGGAAAAAGAATGTTCGATGCGGATGGATGAAGTATAAGGAATTGTGGCATCAAATGGAAGAAGGGATAGATACGGAGCTCGGAGCCTATTGATTTTGATAAAGATAAGAACAGTCTAGAAACTGAAAACACCCGATCCAGCACGTCTAGGTCCACCGAAAGGATGTGTAATAACAGCACTAACGAACAATCCAACGGTTAAACCGATAGCGACAGAAACCAATTGTTCAGCAACGTCAAAACCATCACTCCAAGCTTGAGTCCCATTCTGTTCAGCGGCGAAATTGAAAATACCACCGTTTGCTAAGCCTGAAGGAAGTTGAAAGAGTATACCAGTGACTGTTACTGGGAAACTTGATCCGTGAGAGAAACGACCGTAGAGGTTTCCAAGGGTACCGACTACGAAAGAACCGATGGCGGAGACGATGTCTGATCTACCGGGGAAAGCGAGACCGGAAAAATGGTTGGAAACCCAGCCAGCAACGGAGATGAGGACCATGATTGGCTAGACATCAGCGGAGGGTCCGATCAGGAACGTCATGCCAGGGCGGGTGATGGGTAAGGGTGGAGTAATAGGGGAAACAGAAAGTAGGAGATGGGAGGATGGTGAGTTTGGGAAAAGAAATATATAGACTTACCAGTTCTTTAGCAAAAAGAGGTTGTTGATTCCTCAAAGAAAGCCAAAAGGAATAAGCAGGACAACAGAGGAAGTCTGTGAATGATCAATTATCAAATCCAGGTCACCGCATCAAATTTCTACAAACGCCCCTTCCATTACTTTTGTAGCAATGGTGAAAAACAGGATTATCATTCATGTGGTGGAGGGTCTAACTTCGTAGAATGAAAGAGGCGCCTTCTGAAACTCTATGGAGATCCGAGATGGTGTGTGTGTGTGTTCGTTCGAGATTGGCAGATAGGAAGGAGTGTAGGAAAACTAAAGACACACTTACACCAATAAGCACTAGGAGTTACCCCATACCAAGGTTTACCACTATGTGTAGTTGAACAAGTATAATCATCCGGTCCGACAACTTCTAATCCTGTGATTTTACGATATATCTCTGCACCTATGGTTATACCAAATCCTAGGAATAGAGAGTAAATGACACTGTAACCTATTCGGACTGCACCGGAGGTGATGTTACGAGAAGCTAGTTCTAGTGAACCACATAGGACTATGTAACCCTGATCGTTAGGTCTGTTTCTTCTGATGTCTCCTTCATTTTTTGTATGATGGACGAACGAATATGAACGCTTGAAGGTCGCAAAATTAAGCCAGAAGGAGAGATATGGGCTGATAGAGTAGAGAAGTACAATTGATAGTAGAATAGAATCGAGGTAGCAGTTGGCGATGACAAATCAGAGGAAATGATTAGGGTGAGGGGAGAGGCATTGACTGTTGAGGAAATGGTTCGAGGGAGGCGGAGGAGCGATAATAAATCTAAGGAACATTCGGGCGAAGGGGGAAGAGGAGAAGAGGAGGCAGTAGAGGAGGGGAGTAAAACGACTGAAAACTCACAGGTAAAATCAATACCACCCCTCCTGATACTAAAGAAGTATAACAGAAATACCCAGTAGAAGCTAACGCAGCAGAAATGAACGAAATGATACAAGCGATGGAAATTTCGAATCTATTCCCATTAACATCTTCTCACCTTCGATAAAGAACCACGGTGGACTTACACGTTAGATAACATGTCATTTCTAGCCACTAGGATTTGAACACCACAGAGGAGCATACCCAATGGCATGGCGATAAGTGCGTCTATGAATGATCTGAAGATGAGTTGGTTGTTCTCTCGTTCGTCCTGTTCATGGCGAGATTATATCCATCCGGCTTTGGTCACATATGACTCGGACGTTCCCAAGATTCTAGGCTACATGATAGCGTTCAGGTGTGCGAGGGGATGAGTAAGATTTTCATCCATGATTGTAAGAGAAGCAAGGGGTGTTTAGAATTTTTTGGTGGGCTCTTGTATGTGTTTCTGAAGATGCTCGGGGGAGGGAAGAAGAAAGCATTTAGTAAGCCGCTAAGAGGGGGGAGGGGGAAGGGGATTACGGAATTTGGGAGTACGCAAAGATACAAGAAAGGGGAAACTGTACTCACCCGTAAAATGAAATCACAGTGATAAAAGCAGAACACATAGCTCCGATCAACAAAACCTGCCACCAAGAATAATAAACCGGAGTAGTCATCAAAACGTCTAAATCTTTACTAGCTTGATCTACCGACATTCGATCATGTACAACGTTCCAATATAAATGATGAGTCGCCAATAACTTTCCTAGATCTAATCCTGTGGCTTGTTTCAAGAATTTGACTTCAGAAGTATGTGTAGTATCGTCACCAAAGGAAATTAACATGGTTCCTGGTAGATAAATGACTTGAGCGTTAATTTCTAATACTCGGGCTGTAGCTTGGATTTGGGTTTCAAGACGATGAGAAGGGGAACCGAACCTGTTATATTAGTTTTGATCTTACTCGTCACTTTAATTCAGTGCGTTCGGGTCTGGATGGCTGCGGGGAGACGGGCACGTAGAGAAGCTTAAAAAATCTTCCATGTAAGGTCGTGACATGGGTGAATATGTGAACTGGGGATGGGGATGGGGATGGAATGAGACAATCAGGGTGTTCAGTCGACGAACGCGACTCACATCATCAGAGCTCTTGCAAGTTTCAGCAGGAATTGTTGTCTTTGAATATAAGCAGCGACGTGTTGGATAATCTGAAAATCAGTTTCTACCCCCAGGATCTCCAGCTTGCTTGAAGAGCGAGACTAGTAAAAAAGTAAATTCAGGCTGATGGGACATGATGTGACAAGGAGATTGTCACATAGAAGCGCATGTGAGAAGAAATGGGAAAGAAACCCACATAGATCTCTTGTTTCTTCCTAGCATCCCTCTCTTTCTTCCTTTTCTTCCTCTCCTTCTCCCTTTCTTTCCTCCTTATATCCTCCTCCGTCAGAGACCTAGGAGTGAAAAACTCAAAGCCACTCTTCTCATCCGGAGTGAACAATGGTGTTTTCCCACCACTCATTATCCAATTTTCTGCATTATGCAAAACATGTCCACTTGCCTTCAAAGCCGATACTGGTAATTTACCTAATTCACCCAAGTTCATCTTTGGCTTTCTTTTCTCTCCAGTTTTTGTCGATAATTCATCAACCGACGCAGCTCTCTTTTTCTCTTCTTTCATTGATGACAATTGATCATCCGAATAAGCCTTTCGTTTTGAAAATTGATCGTCCGAAACGGTAGATTTAGCATCTGGAGGAGTTTCAGAAACGACGGTAGAAGAATGAATCGAAGGGGGTCTGGAATTTGCTCTACTTCCAGGTCTTGAACTAGGTCTCCATGGTTGAGAAACATCCGGACCATTTATATCGGGTAAAGAATATCGATTAAGTTGATATCCTGGTCGTTTAGCTGCAGGAGCCAGTGTAGAAGCATGAGGTGTAGCGGCCGCACTTAAATTTGCTGTGTTTTGTATGAGAGCACCGATAACACCTGCACCATTACGTGCGGATTTAGGTCGATCACGTTCCATCCAATGTTCTTTAGCTCTCTTGATAGCTTTCATAAACCCTGGTTCTACTTGTTGGTCAGGACGTACACTTCCATCACTTGCTATCCTTCGCATTTGTGGTCGATTGGGAGATTCTGAACCTGTGATAGAAGGTCGATGTCGATCATGTATTTGAACACCTGTTGTACGTTCAACTTCTTTTTTTCTACGTTCGTCTTCATCTGATGATTCGTCTTCTGTTAAAGTCCCCACTGAACTAGCTACGGATGTCCGTTCCGATCTCATACCAGGACGGTTTTGTCCATATAAGGCTAAAAGTGAAGATAAGACAGAAGCACCTTCGGGAAGGTTTGGCATTCTTATCGAATGATCATCTTCATCTTCACTACTATATCCAGAGGACTTTCTACTTATTGGTTCTCGATCAGATGATTCACCGGTCCGACCAGACACGTGTTCCGGTACCCAAGGACGATGAGGTATTTCGGGATCCCACTTTTCGTTATCGGCAGGATCGGCGTTCAATTGTGTTTTGATACTCGGACCAGAAGTCATTGATGCAAAGTTTTTAGCGTGACTGACAGCTTTGACACGTCGACGTAAAACTCCCCATTTACCAGTATGAGCACGAACGATATCTGTAGCTGCCTTCAAATCATCCACAGTTTCGGTATGTTTGATATTGGGTAATCCATCCGTTTCTCCCATGGGTATATAACCTCTGACATGTTCGTTCATATTATGATCTAACAATAAATTTTCCACTCTTCTATTTTCACGAGAATCCCCACTCCCGGCACTGGTGATAGGTTCAAGTGGTAGTGGTGATGGAACGGGCTGAGGAGAGTCTTGTTGAAGACGCCAATCATAATCTTGACCTTCATCATCGGTGACCTCTGCACTGCTAACATTGCTTAGTGAAGATAAAGGTCTACGTTGACGTTCTCTTTCGAGAGCTTCTCGTACTCTTTCAATATTGGTCTCGTCTAATGTACTTGATCGTGGGGATTCGTCAGTGGGATCGAATTCTTGTACTGAAACCGATGTGATGGGGAAATGTACGC